TCTCTCAACACACACTCACTCTCTCAACACACACACACACTCACTCTCTCAACACACACACACACTCTCTCAACACACACACACACTCACTCTCTCAACACACACACACTCACTCTCTCAACACACACACACACTCTCTCAACACACACACACACTCACTCTCTCAACACACACAGACTCTCACAACACACACACACTCAACTCTCACAACACACACACTCAACTCTCACAACACACAAACACACTCACTCTCTCAACACACACACACACACTCACTCTCTCAACACACACACACACTCACTCTCTCGACACACACACACACTCACTCTCTCAACACACACTCACTCTCTCAACACACACTCACTCACTCTCTCAATACACACACACTCACTCTCAGTGGTAGGAGTTTAGCGGTAGGGGTTTAGCGGTAGGGGTTTAGCGGTAGGGGTTTAGCGGTGGGGTTTAGCGGTAGGGGTTTAGCGGTAGGGGTTTAGCGGTAGGGGTTTAGCGGTAGGGGTTTAGCGGTAGGGGTTTAGCGGTAGGGATTTAGCGGTAGGGGTTTAGCGATAGGGGTTTAGCGGTAGGGGTTTAGCGGTAGGGGTTTAGCGGTGGGGTTTAGCGGTAGGGGTTTAGCGGTAGAGGTTTAGCGGTAGGGGTTTAGCGGTACGAGTTTAGCGGTAGGGGTTTAGCGGTAGAAGTTTAGCGGTAGGAGTTTAGCGGTAGGAGTTTAGCGGTAGGGGTTTAGCGGTAGGGGTTTAGCGGTAGGGGTTTAGCGGTAGGAGTTTAGCGGTAGGGGTTTAGCGGTAGGGGTTTAGCGGTAGGGGTTTAGCGGTAGGGATTTAGCGGTAGGGGTTTAGCGATAGGGGTTTAGCGGTAGGGGTTTAGCGGTAGGAGTTTAGCGGTAGGGGTTTAGCGGTAGGAGTTTAGCAGTAGGAGTTTAGCGGTAGGGGTTTAGCGGTGGGGTTTAGCGGTAGGGGTTTAGCGGTAGGGGTTTAGCGGTAGGAGTTTAGCGGTAGGGGTTTAGCGGTCGGGGTTTAGCGGTAGGGGTTTAGCGGTAGGGGTTTAGCGGTAGGGGTTTAGCGGTGGGGTTTAGCGGTGGGGTTTAGCGGTAGAGGTTTAGCGGTAGGAGTTTAGCGGTAGGGGTTTAGCGGTCGGGGTTTAGCGGTAGGGGTTTAGCGGTAGGAGTTTAGCGGTAGGGGTTTAGCGGTAGGAGTTTAGCGGTAGGAGTTTAGCGGTAGGGGTTTAGCGGTAGGGGTTTAGCGGTAGGGGTTTAGCGGTGGGGTTTAGCGGTGGGGTTTAGCGGTAGAGGTTTAGCGGTAGGAGTTTAGTGGTAGGAGTTTAGCGGTAGGGGTTTAGCCGTAGGGGTTTAGCGGTAGGGGTTTAGCGGTAGGAGTTTAGCGGTAGGAGTTTAGCGGTAGGGGTTTAGCGGTAGGGGTTTAGCGGTAGGGGTTTAGCGGTAGGGGTTTAGCGGTAGGGGTTTAGCGGTGGGGTTTAGCGGTGGGGTTTAGCGGTAGAGGTTTAGCGGTAGGAGTTTAGCGGTAGGAGTTTAGCGGTGGGGTTTAGCGGTAGGGTTCAGCCGTAGGGTTCTCTGTGAGGATTCAGTGTTTCCCAGGGTTGTGGTGAGAGTTCAGTGTTCGGGTTGTAAGTGTGTTGAACTTCTTCCCTACCGTACGTAGCCAACTGTGCTAATCGGAGGGCTATGTATGAGGATTAACAGTTCATAGTATGGTTAACAACTAAACTATTACACTACTTTTTATTATACCAGGTAAATCCCACTGAACTATATAGCTCTTTTTCAGAAACGACCTGGCCACAAATGATAGTTCAACGAAGTGGCTGGCTTTTCATGTGGAAATGTATAGCAGCCAAGTATCCAAACGCATGTTTCTAAATGTGGAGAGAAAAACCGGAGGACCTTGATAAAAAAAAATCCACGCGACCACAAATATACAGCAGGCGTCATGGTCGGGATCGAATCCACGACCACCTGTATACCAGGCGAGGTGGTTAACATCTCTGTGTTCATCGTCACGTGGTCAGAGTTAAGTCTCAGTGTTAGGTGTCCATAGCGTGATGGTTGTGATTCCGTTCTGTGCTCCGGGCTCAGGGCCGTGTTTCTTGGCCTGGCTCAGCTCGGGTTCTGGTCGCTCGGCTGCTGCCAAAGAAGCAGAGCGGCTCTGCCATGGCCCCACTCGGACTGGGGCTCAGCGAAATCCTGAGCACAGATGGAGCCACGCTCAGAGTTGGCTCAAATTAAGCGCTTGGCTGTGAGCCAGCTCACTTGAGCCAGAGTCGAGCCGAGCCGAGCCAGAGCCAGAGCCAAACCGAGCCAGAGCTGAGCCACGACAAAGAATCCGGAGCCGAGTGGCTCGGGTTCAGCGCTGGTAGTTTTGAGGTTTGGTGTCAGCGTGAGGATGCGGTGTCCGTACGTTCAAGGGTGGTGGTGTTGGGGATTTGCTGTTCAGACTTGGGGTAAGTGTCACGGAGCACTATTGTGAGACAAATCCCATATGTCAATCTCTCGCCCCGCCCCCCACTATGAGTGTCCCCGCTGCGTGAACCCATGGCTGCTGGCATCGTCGAGGAGGTCCCCCTGATGGCACTCAGCTGTCTCAGCCGGTGTCACCTCCCCGGTGTGTCTGGAGATCCCCTGCAGCTGGGGTCAGGAGTGCGCGGGGTGGGGGGGTCAAGATGGGCAGTGGGAGGGAGGGAGGGGCGATGGTGCTGGGAGAGAGAGACAAGAGCGAGGGGTGGAGGTGCGAGAGGGAGATGGATGCGAGCTGGGTGATGGTGGGAGAGGAATACAGAGATGGTGCTAGAAGGCAGAGAGAGAGAAGAGATGGAGCCCAGGAGAGGGTAGGAGGGAGAGGAGAGTGGGGAGGTGGGTGGGTGGTGAGGGGCAGGGGGAAGGTGGGGGGGGGCTGCTCCGCGGAGCTGCCAGCGCGGAGGAATGCGCCGGCCCGAAATGGCCGGAGACTAAAAAGGGAATAGATGCCATAGCGGAGCGCGCGGGCGGCCACCAACGTGGGGAGGGGGGCACGGGCGCCGGGCGTGGAGGGCGGGCCCAGACCCCCCCTGTCGTCCCGTTTATTCAGCACAACCGATGGGGTCCGTTTCACTTCGTACAGCAGCAGCCCCCAGCGCCCGCGCTGGGGGCTGCGAGGAACTGGAGCTCGACGCAAAACCGTAACGGCAACAACAGCAGCGGCCACAGCAACTACGACGACGACAACAACAACACGACAGCAGCGCTGCGATGGTGGCGTTATCATCCTCGCACACGCGCTGCGCACACCACGTGGCACCGGCAACTCCCTGCGCATCACGCACCCGCCCCCCCCTCCAAGCCCCGCACCTGAGTTCCCTCCCAGCCGCCTGCCTACTCCGCTCCTCCCAGGTGCGCGAGTGGAATCAGCGCGATGGGGAGAGGCAGGTAAACGAGGCAGGTAAACGAGGGGCTCGTGGCGGTGCGCAGGTAAAGCGCGCCTGCTCACAGGGACACCGCTGTGCGCTCGGCGACCCACAGCTACCCTGCTGCCCATCACACAGCTGCCTAATGACCTGTAACCCAGTGGTGAACGTGGATATTTAGAATCACATTTTGGAACATCGTGCATCTTGCAGCATCCTATGTAAACTACCAGTGTGGCTGTAGGTTCAACTGGAAGTGCCGTGCGGATTTGGAACTTAGCTCACACCGTGCATAGCTCACCGTGATGAATGGAGGTGCGTACGTCATATGCCGGCCCATTTCCATCACTGTCTGCACCCCACCACACCTGTACAGTGAACCCCACCTGCACCCCACCACACCTGTACAGTGAACCTCACCTGCACCCCACCACACCTGTACAGTGAACCTCACCTGCACCCCACCACACCTGTACAGTGAACCCCACCACCTGCACCCCACCACACCTGTACAGTGAATCACAGCCGCCTACAGGGCCCCACCAGCTCAGTGGCTGACCCATGTGCCACGACCGCATCTTCCTGTGCCACAAAATTTGAGATAGTTCGACATAAAGCAGCATCGAGGTCGACTCATGGCCCACCACTCACCGGTTCACGACGGTCGCTCACTCATCGGTCGCCTGTGTGTACCCCTCCTCTCGCTACTGCCATGGTTTACGGTTCGCGTGAACGTCGCCCATCGATTCCTCCACCCGCGTTGAGAACCCGGTCTACCAGACACTGACTCTTTAGTCCCGTCCGTACTGTGTTCAACCAGCACACAGAGTCACGCAAATATATTCACTCAACTAACTCCCTTGTCACCCAATCACTCACCCAATCACTCACCCACTCCCTTACTCACCCAATCACTCACCAACACTCCTCTTTCTGCTTCTTCCCTCCGCCACTGCTCTACTTCAGAATTCCCTCCCGCGTCTCCTCTCCCAAGCTCGTCTCACAAATAGCCTTGCTCAGGTCAGGCAGCGTCTTAACTCCTTTGTCTATTACAACTTGGATGGTGCTGTTTGTTACCGGCCACGTCACGATTTGGGCGTGTGAGCCTGGTCTCGGAAACAAAAGTATCGTGTCGTTTGTAGATATAACTCGCTGGCACGTCCCTACTAGCTTCATGGCTCATCGGATTCCTCCAGGATAAATAAACATTGTGATTCTGAATATTTAAATAAATAAATAAAATCCTCGTAGAGCCTTTAACAAACTGTCGGGGCAAGTGCTGTTAGCGAGCGCCTATGAAGGCCGACACTACACACGAGGGGGTGGGTGGCCAACACCACGCCCGACCGCCTTTGTCTCCCTAGTGGCAATGTTTACACACCGCACCAGGTACTCATTTGAGGCTGAGTCGACCTAGGGGAGGGCCCAGGACCATTCAGATAATCACCGGTGTTGGCCCCGAGCGAGAATTGAACTCGGTGGCCGGGTTCGTAGCGCAGCGCGCTAACCGCGACACGACCGCTCGCACACACGCGCACACACACACACGCTCTTCTCCCCCCCCCCCGCTACCCCCCAACACCCACCGCTCCCACCTTGCTGTCCTCCATGATGTCCGGCTCCCCGATCTGGTAGCTGAGCTCCGTCTCCTCGAATCCGCTGGCGCTCATCCTCTGCTCGGCGCCAGGGTCAGGTGCCGTGGCGGCGGCCGCCGTGGGCCGAGGCGGCGAGTCGGGGGAGTTGAGGCACGTCTGGATGAGCGCCTTGCCGCTCTCGCTCGTGATCATCGGCTGCAGCTTGCGCGTCGCAAACGTGTACACGTGGCCCGTCTCGCTGGCCACCAGCAGCATCACCTGCGTGCCGGTCAGCGTGGACAGCTCGTACGCCTGCGGGGGGGCGGGGGCAGCAGGAGGATGGAGGCACGACACGTGTATGTTCAAAAAGGGCCATTGCCCGAAACGTTATCGATGACATACACTGTGTTTCCAACCCCCACCCCCCGCACCCCCTTTAAGGCGGCAGTGTTATTGACGGATGTCTGGAGTGTTCGTGTTCTTTTTGACGGATCGTTAACGACGCACAGATCCTGTGGCCAGGTCGCTTCGGAAAAAAAAGCGTTCAATAGCTCAGTGGGCCCCTTACACCCCGGCAAAATAAAATAGTTTCAGTTTACATGAATGATGCGACCACCTGCTGATCGGTGTGTGACCATCGTGGGTGATTAACAGACGTGAGGAACGGGATTAATCACGTGACCGACACACGGGGGGGGGTGCGACTGATGATTGACACGCGGGTGATGCGGCTAAGACAGCCGCGGCTGACGGCCACGTGGTTCGTGACACACAGAGAGCTCGGCCATCACCACCCTTCCCTCCACGCCCCCCCACCGTGCCCCCCCCCCACTTCGTGCCCCCCCCCCCCCCCCCCCACTTCGCGCACCCCACCCCCGTCCCACTTTCACCGCCGCGTCTCCAGTTTCTCGCGGACGCGCGTCACGTGTCACGTGCGCGGCGCAGACTTCGCTTCAAGTGTCACACTAACACACACTACCAACACTAGCACACACACTCACACACTCACACACACACTCACACACTAACACACACACTCACACACTAGCACACTAACACAAACACTCACACTAGCACACACTACCAACACTAACACACACACTCACACACTAACACACAAGCACACTAACACACTAGCACAAACACTCACACTACCAACACTAGCACACACACTAACACTAACAAACACACACTACCAACACTAACACACACACACTACCAACACTAACAAACACACACTACCAACACTAACACACACACACTACCAACACTAACACTAACACACACACACTACCAACACTAACACTAACACACACTAACACTAACACACACTAACACACACTAACACTAACAACACTAACACACACACACTAACAACACTAACACACACACACTAACAACACTAACACACACACACTAACAACACTAACACACACACACTAACAACACTAACACACACACACTAACAACACTAACACACACACACTAACAACACTAACACACACACACTAACAACACTAACACACACACACTAACAACACTAACACACACTCACACTACCAACACTAACACACACACACTACCAACACTAACACACACTCACTAACAACACTAACACACACACTAACAACACTAACACACACACTAACAACACTAACACACACACACTACCAACACTAGCACACACACACTAACAACACTAACACACACACACACTAACAACACTAACACACACACACACTAACAACACTAACACACACACACTAACAACACACACTAACACTAACAACACTAACACACACACACTAACAACACTAACACACACACACCAACAACACCAACACTAACACACACACTCACTACCAACACTAACACACACTCACTAACAACACTAACACACACACTAACAACACTAACACACACTCACTACCAACACTAGCACACACTCACACTAGCACACACACACACACTACCAACACTAACACACACACACTAACAACACTAACACACACACACTAACAACACTAACACACACACACTAACAACACTAACACACACACTAACGACCAACACTAACAACACTAACACACACACTCACTACCAACACTAACAACACTAACACACACACACTAACAACACTAACACACACACACTAACAACACTAACACACACACACTAACAACACTAACACACACACACTAACAACACTAACACACACTCACACTACCAACACTAACACACACACACTACCAACACTAACACACACTCACTAACAACACTAACACACACACTAACAACACTAACACACACACTAACAACACTAACACACACACTAACAACACTAACACACACACACTACCAACACTAGCACACACACACTAACAACACTAACACACACACACACTAACAACACTAACACACACACACACTAACAACACTAACACACACACACTAACAACACACACTAACACTAACAACACTAACACACACACACTAACAACACTAACACACACACACCAACAACACCAACACTAACACACACACTCACTACCAACACTAACACACACTCACTAACAACACTAACACACACACTAACAACACTAACACACACTCACTACCAACACTAGCACACACTCACACTAGCACACACACACACACTACCAACACTAACACACACACACTAACAACACTAACACACACACACTAACAACACTAACACACACACACTAACAACACTAACACACACACTAACGACCAACACTAACAACACTAACACACACACTCACTACCAACACTAACAACACTAACACACACACACTAACAACACTAACAACACTAACACACACACTCACTAACAACACTAACACACACACACTAACAACACTAGCACACACTCACTACCAACACTAACACACACACACTACCAACACTAACACACACTCACTAACAACACTAACACACACTCACTACCAACACTAGCACACACTCACTACCAACACTAGCACACACTCACACTAGCACACACGAGCACACACTAACACATACTACCAACACTAGCACACACACACTAACAACACTAACACACACACACTACCAACACTAGCACACACACACTAACAACACTAACACACACACACACTAACAACACTAACACACACACACACTAACAACACTAACACACACACACTAACAACACACACTAACACTAACAACACTAACACACACACACTAACAACACTAACACACACACACCAACAACACCAACACTAACACACACACTCACTACCAACACTAACACACACTCACTACCAACACTAACACACACTCACTAACAACACTAACACACACACTAACAACACTAACACACACTCACTACCAACACTAGCACACACTCACACTAGCACACACACACACACTACCAACACTAACACACACACACTAACAACACTAACACACACACTAACAACACTAACACACACACACTAACAACACTAACACACACACTAACGACCAACACTAACAACACTAACACACACACTCACTACCAACACTAACAACACTAACACACACACACTAACAACACTAACAACACTAACACACACACTCACTACCAACACTAACAACACTAACACACACTCACTAACAACACTAACACACACACACTAACAACACTAGCACACACTCACTACCAACACTAACACACACACACTACCAACACTAACACACACTCACTACCAACACTAGCACACACTCACACTAGCACACACGAGCACACACTAACACATACTACCAACACTAGCACACACACACTAACAACACTAACACACACACTCACTACCAACACTAGCACACACACTCACTACCAACACTAGCACACACACTCACTACCAACACTAGCACACACACACTACCAACACTAACACACACACTCACTAACAACACTAACACACACACACTAACAACACTAACACACACACACTAACAACACTAACACACACACACTAACAACACTAACACATACTCACTACCCACACTAACACACACACTCACTACCAACACTAGCACACACTCACACTAGCACACACGAGCACACACTAACACACACTAACAACACTAGCACACACTCACTACCAACACTAACACACACACACTAACAACACTAACACACACACACTAACAACACTAACACACACACACTAACAACACTAACACACACACTCACTACCAACACTAGCACACACGAGCACACACTAACACAGCAACACTAGCACACACACACTACCAACACTAGCACACACTCACTACCAACACTAACACACACACACTAACAACACTAACACACACACACTAACAACACTAACACACACTCACTACCAACACTAACACATACACACTCACTACCAACACTAGCACACACTCACACTAGCACACACGAGCACACACTAACACAGCAACACTAGCACACACTAACACAGCAACACACTAACACTAGCACACACTAACACACATCACCCATATATCATTGATCAGACTGTTGGGGCAAGTGCTGTTCGCGAGCACCTATGAAGGTCGGTCAGGTGGGTGGCTGCTACAATGCCCAGCCGCCTTTGTCTCCCCAATGCTGATGTTAACACACCTTACGAGGTACTAATTTAAGGCCGAGTTAACCTAGGCGAGGTCCAGAACAGGTTCAGATATTCGTCCCCGGTGTTGGCCGTGAGCGGCAATCGAATTGCAGTGGCTGGGTTCGTAGCGCAGTGCCCTAACCACTGCGCCACCGCTCCTTATAACGGAGCGGTGGTGCAGTGACAAACGACGCACTCCAAGGCAAAGATCCCCCGTATAGGCTTAAGTCTGTTGGGGCAAGTGCTGTTAGCGAGCACCTATTAAGGCCGGCACGGCACACGGGGGGGGTGGGGTGGTCAGCACCACGCCCGACCGCCTTTGTCTCTCCAGTGACAATATTTACACACCGCACCAGGTACTCATTTGAGGCCGAGTCGACCTAGGGGAGGCCCAGAACCGGCTCAGATAATCGTCGCCGGTGTTGGCCGTGAGCGGGAATCGAACTCGGCTCGCCGGGTTCGTAGCGCAGCGGTAGCGCTGACCGCTACCCCACCGCTCCCCAGCCCTCTCATGCACCACAGCCGTCCATCAGCACCACCACCACCTCCACCACCACCTCCACCACCACCTCCACCACCACCTCCACCACCACCTCCACCACCACCTCACACCCCGTTATTGCCTTCAACCCGACTATTGGGGTAGCAGCAGCACCATCGTCATCAGCACCACCACGACCACACGCGCGCACCACCGTCACCATCGTCATCATCATCATCAGCAGCACCACGACCACACGCGCGCACCACCGTCACCATCGTCATCATCAGCAGCACCATCACCACCGTCATCATCATCAGCAGCACCACGACCACACGCGCGCACCACCGTCACCAGCGCACGAACGCGCGCAGCCCGATCCGACCCGAGGTGACGAGGACCCGCTCACGACCCCGATGATCTCGAGCGAGATCTCAAGACCGTGACCTCCCCCCCCCCACTAGGGGCCCACCTCTCCTCCCGGCGTCCCCTCGCCGCCCCCCCCTCACCTTCTTCATGATGCCCGTCTTGCGCTTGCTGAACGTGGTGTACCGCCGCAGCTTGTTGTCAATGAACTCCATCTTGATCTTGACGCGGCCGCGCGTCTTCTTGCCGGGCTTGAGTCCCGTGGGCGCCACGCCGCGCCCCGGGTCCATGGGGTCGCGCCCGGGGAAGCAGGGCCCCCCTCCCCCGGAGACGCCGTCGCGGCCGGGAACCCCCCCCTGGGCCATCGCCACCGCCGCCGCCGCCTCGCCGCTGCCGAGGCTGTCGTCGTCGTCGCTATCGTCAGAGGCCCCCTCGGACATCTTGCAGTCGGAGTGACCCCGCAGGGAGAGGCCGGAGCCGGCCGCGGGCCCCCTGTTGGGGCCCTCCATGCGGGGCGCGGAGCGCGAGACGGGTGCCTCCATGCGGGGCGCGGTCTCCCGGCCCCGAGTCGCACGCGGCCGCCGCGCGCGGCCCCATAAACACGCGCAGCACACGTGTCACGCCGCGCCGCGAAAGTAGTGCGCGCACGTCCGCCGGCTCCCGGGGCCCGAGACCGCGGCCGACAGCCCCGGGCAGGGTCCCGACGGCCCCGGCGCGAGCGGCGGGACTTGTTGCGAGGCCACGGCGAGTTTGGCCCGAGCGCCGATCGGATTTGCGCTTCACGCGGCGGAGCGCTCCGGCCGGCGTGAAGCGGTCATTGCCATTTATAGAAGCCGAGCCCCATGTTTGGTATTTGATGCCCAAACAAGGAGCGCGACGGCGCGCGCGCCGCCTTCGCGTGACGTCACAGGGAACCCTGCGAGGGGCTTCCCCCGCCCGGTGGATAGCGAGCGACAGTCACCAACCCCGTTACTCTGTCACCAGGATTACATCTCCGTTAAGTCTGTTACCATGATTACACCCCCGTTACTCTGTCACCAGGATTACATCCCCGTTACTCTGTCACCAGGATTACCAGCATCGTAACTCTGTCACCAGGATTACATCCCCGTTACTCTGTCACTAGGATTACATCCCCGTTACTCTGTCACCAGGATGACAACCCCGTTACTCTGTCACCAGGATGACATCTCCGTTACTCTGTTACCAGAATTACCACCCCGTTACTCGGTCACCAGGATTACCACCCCCGTTACTGTCACCAGCTCCGTTACTCTGTTACCAACCCCGTTACTCTGTCACCAGAATTACATCCCCGTTACTCGGACACCAGCATTGCATCCCCGTTACTCGGTCACCAGGATTACCAGCCCCGTTATCAGCAAAGCCCCTCCCTCCCCGCGCCTCTGCCGTGTTTACCAATCCGCCACGTGACGCGATACACAACCGGACGATTCGCCTGGCTGACCACATTTGTCTCTCCACGTTACAGAAATACAAGTTTGCTTCGCACAATTAAAGCAAACATCGGTTCGATACAAGCACACTCTGGACCGGTATCGACATTCATCGTTTCATCAGCAGAACCAGGCGTGCTTGAACTAAGTGAAGTGTCACGTGTCTCTGTTCGACACGAGTCTTAGTTCCTGCAGAGTTGAAGGGTGTGTATTCAAATCGGGTTTGGCGGTCAGTGGTGGCACCCGCTTCCTGCGTGAAACAGTGCAGGAGTTCTGCAGACATCAACAAACATCAACAAAAACATCATCATCATCACCACTAACACGCCACATGCTCGGCGTCACAGCTGATGACAGCGTCGCGTGGGCAGAGGGCCCCTCACCCCGCCCCGCTGCGGTCGAGGACTGAAGGAGGAGAGGAGGAGGAAGAGCAGCAGGAGAACGAAGAGCGGGAGGAGGAGGAGATGAGCGGGAGCAGAAGACGCGGGAGGAGCAGGAAGATGAGCGGGAGGAGGGAGAGGAAGATGAGCGGGAGGAGGTGGGGGGGGATGAGCGGGAGGAGTGGTGGAGGAGGAGCCACTCGCGCTCAGCTCCATGTTTAGCCTCGTCTCGCCGCGCGTCACCCTGGCGCGCTATAATTACCCGTGAGAGCGGGGCTCCGAGCCCTAATAAGGAGCGGGGCGGCTCCCAGGGTCGCGAGCCCAGTCCCTTTGGCCCGGCTCCCGTCAGGGGCTGGGGCGGAGCGCAGGTGGAGGAGCCGGGAGGGATAACGGCACCAAGCCTCGAGGAGGAGCCTCCAGCGCTCTCCGACCCATCAACCCCCATGTGAACCATCCAACCTGCAGCGTGGCACCACAGCTCGCTCGCATCTCGAATGCGCGCGCGTCACTCGGCACGGGGTTCACTGTCAGCGTAGCCGCCGTTGGCCAATCTCACGCCTCCCTCTGGTCGCTCCTTCATTGACCCATTGTCGAGCGTGAGAAGGGCGCGACCGTGACCCCTACACACTGACCCCGGGCCCCAGGAGGGCGCGGGGAGGAGGGTGGGCACACTCGGCTCTCACTCTCTCAGCAGCCCCACTGGCGAATCCACGTCCAATCCTCACTCCCATGGCAGGGCCCAGTCTCATCATAGGATGACCACCTTGAATACCCACGGCAGTATTTGAATACCACCAGAACCATCCACACCACCAATGCCACTCACACCACTCTCACACAACCCACACTGTCATTCATCACTTAAGTGGCAGTGATGTCTTCACTTGCCTCGCTGTCGGCAGGTCACGGGACAGACCCCGGTGTTTTAGGACGACTGACTGAGATGACTGGTAAGATGCTCCACCTGTGCCAACTTGCTCATTCGAGCCGTCCGGCGCTCTGCTCGTTGTCAGCGTCGCTCCTCCGTCCTCCGTTGTTACTGGAGGCCACCTCCCACTGCCTTGTAGCCTCAAAGTGCACCTAGCCTGGCACTGCACAGTATCGTCTTTCACAAGCCTCCTCCCAGAGGCTGATCTTGACCCTGCTGGTGCCAGTCATCTGCAAGTCAACTCTGCTGCCACGTCTTTCGGTACCAAATCAGTCCATCTCTTCTCTAGCCCGTGCCATGCCCGTTAAGCAACCTCTATCCGGCCAAACAAAAGCTGCTTGGTCATGCGGTGGCTGAGCATGCGGACTACATCACCCAGCCAACATAGCCTCGCCTGCCGAAGGAGCTCGCCGATGGGAGTGTCCAGATGAAAGAATCTGTGAGCTCCTCACACGATCCAGTCTGGTTAAACCGAGGATGGATTGCTGGCAGGCCAGCCTGAATTTGTAAAACCGTTCCAGATGTTCATATAAAGGGGTCGACGTTTCGCAAGCAAAGAGAAGGGAGGGCATAACTGTGGTCCAGAAGACTGGGAGCAACTTCCACACAGCTGATGAAAAGATAGTGCTGCTCGACTGATTGGGAAAAAGAACATCTGCTGGCAACACACAGCTGGTCAATACAACATTGCTCAGGTAACGGAACTTCTTCACTCTCTCGACAAGCACCCAATTGTTGATGGAAAGTTGAGAACATTAAGTGATCGAGGACACTTGGTACCTCGGCAGGTGCTTTGTTTTGGTGGGGTTTATGGCAGGGCTCTGCCTATTTGAGCAGCAGTGTCCACCTCCTGCCCGGCTCCAACTCTTCTCGTAGAGCTGTTGTGTGAGGGTAAGGGGGGCACCATACCACTGACAGACCGCTAAGCACAGTGGACTTGCGGGAGCCAAAATTGACATTTGGTCGTGTCGGGCCAACCCCAGCAGCCGCCTAGCACCGTCCATACTCCCAACTCCTTCTCAGACTGAGCAACGATTACCAGATCATGAGCAGACATGGTTGACCCGTAGGGAACCATCATCCCTTGACCGCACCCAGGAGTAATGCGGCCAGCAGACGAGAGCTCTGTGTGCTCAGTCTACTAAAATAATACCCGCCCCAGCAGCAACAGCAGCCGGTAGACATCTCACGCCACCGCTGTTCGTGCAACAGTCAGCCCAGAGCTCTGACCCTGCACCGCCTTTATATACTGTCCTCGACACCACGCTCCTCCTCGAACCAGAGCCACCCATCCTCTTCATTGCTCACACCCCCTCGCCGGTGTGGGGGAGACAATCAACGGAGAGCAATTGGCTAAACAATGTAATCCAGCTACGAATCAGGACTACAAGCTAGAGTGCACAAATTCCCACTCGTGTGTTTAACAAGGTTTAATAACCTTAATACCACGTGTACCTATACATTACTCGTGTCTGTGTGTATTGTGAGCCTCATGACTCAGGCATTATTGACCAGCCTCCCATTGTATCTGTACCACAGGGAGCCACTGATCGGATGGTTTAACGAACTACGTGTCCATTACCGCAACACCCGCACCACCAACACAACCAACAACACTCAAACTACCACTAACAACAACCGCCATTCGCCACGAAGTGGCTGTGACGTCACCACGGCGATTGTGCCAGGCTATGTGCATGTTAAATTCGACGTGAAATGTCAAACGCCCACTGGCAGGTCACGGGATAGACCCAGGTGCCATGGGTCGACTGACTGAAATGACTGGCCGATGCACCACCTGTGCCCCCTACTGGGCCAACTTGCTGTGCTTTAGCCACCGGCGCTCCGCTCGTTGTTGTGAGCGGCGCTCCTCCGCCCTCCGTTGTTACTGGAGGGCGACTGCCTCCAACCACCCAATAGCGTCCTTCACGAGCCTCCTCCTCCATAATGGCTGATTTTGACACCTCGTTCGAGTCATTGGCAAGTCCACTCAGCTCCATATCCCCTCGTACCACATAATTCGATCTCTTTTCTAGCCCATGCCGCGACCATTTAGCCCCCTCTATCCGGTCGAACGAAAGCTGTTTAGGCATGCGGTAGCTGGGCATGAGTACTACATGACCCAGCCAACGCAGCCTTGCCTGCCAGAGGAGCTCACCAATGGAACTTTGTCCTGATCCGTCAAGGATTTGTGAGCTCCTCACACAATCTAGCCTGGTTAAACCCATGATGGATCGTAGGCAGGCCAGCCTAAATGTTTCTGACCGGCGAAGATGTTCCATTAGGGGGGTCCACGTTTCGCAAGCATAAAGGGAGTGCATTATCATGGCCGAGAAGACCCGAAGCTTCGTGTCGAGCGACAGACCAGGTAGCTTCCATAGTGTTATGCAGCCGATAAAAAGATAATGCCGCTCGACTGATTCGGAGTGAGACCTCTGCTGTCAAACTGGAGCCAGTCATGAGCACACTGCCAAGGTATGGAAAACTCTACACTCTCTCCACAACTGCCCCATCACCAATTGGGAGTTGTGGGGGTAGAGTGCCCGATGGTACAAAATACCCAGGCAGGTGCTTCGTGGCTCGCTCCAGGTTCAGTAGCAGCGCCTCCAATTCCTCCTGTGAGTGAGCAGCAATCACCAGATCATCAGCATACATAACATGGTTGACCAATAGGGAGCCATCCCTTTACCACACCCTGACATCAATTAGTCACCCATTGTATCTGTACTGATAGAAATTCCTCCGGTACAGCCATCGAAGGCTTCAACGAAGTACGAAAAAATGTGGGAGCCAGAGGACAACCGTTGCACCCCAAGGTGAACAGGGAATGGCTCAGACTCCCACCCATGTAGTTTTACCTGGGCTTGCCTATCATCATGTAGGTCCTTAATGATTTTGAGCTGAGACTCAGAGACTACAATAGCACAAAGAACAACACAGAGCCCAGGCATATTGGTGTAATAGGCCTTGACCAAGTATATAATAGAGATATAGATGCTGTGGGAATTCCCTACACCTCTGGTTTAGCAGACGGACAGACAATATGGTGTCTGGGGCTCCACAAGCCTTTCCACAGCGTGCCTGTCACGGCGATATTGAATAATCCTTACCAAGACCTTTCCCAGCACACCGAGGAAGGATATGTACATGTAGTTGTTACAGTCTGTGCAATCTCCCTTCTTAAACAGGGGGACCACCAGGGGATCCTTCCAATCCTACAGAACCCATCCAGTGGTCCAGACTGTTATGTCATATAGGGCAGTCTACACCAGTGACGTGTGGTGAGGTCAATGGCTGGGGAGGCACTGGCTCGTGTCAGAGCCAGATTCATAGAGGGGGGCATGGCCTCACTGGGGGGGGGGGGCGTGGCCTCACTGAGGGGGGCGTGTTAGGCACGCCCCCCTCAGTGAGGCAGATGTGATAGCTGCCTCCCCTGGTGCTTTTTCATTTCAGTTCCATGACGAGACCAGCGGGACTAAATATCTTTATACACATAGTGAAATAAGTTACCTGGAGTATGGAAGGCGTGGACATGAAATTAAGGGGTCTACAAACATTACATTGGTGACATACTGTGATAGTAACAGGCACGCGCTTATTGCCCGCGCTCCATCCAATTTCTGAGGGGTTGCACAATCAGGGGGGAGGCTGAGCTCGTCGCTGCCTCACCTCTCGTCTTTTCCTGTATTTACAGCAGAGCTCCGCAAATTTGGCGATTTTGACTAAAAACATGTTTGGAATCGTACAGAAATGACATTTATAACAGATCAGTAGAAAAATCAGATTTTTTTTTCCGTAACAGCTAATTTCATTGGAGTATGGCAGGTGAGGCTCTGCCTCCCCTGACCGCACGTCCTGGTCTACACACAAACACCACCTTCCCTCAGCAGTTCACTTGGGAAATCATCTCTGCCCAGCACTTTTCCTGGTCTGACTTTGGATCGCCTTCCCTAACTTCCAACAGACGGTACTTCATCCAGCCACTCACAGGGGGTGACAACTACTTCCAATAATTGAGGCACCACAGCCTCAGCAGGGTCACCCCCAATTTGCTCCATGACGTTTTCTGGGCCGAGGGATTTCCCCTCCCCCCAAGACTTCACAAACATGCTCAGCAAACCTGCAAACCTGTTTCTGTGGGTTGGAGCTTGGATCACCTTTCTTAACCCGAAGGAGGGTGATGTGTGGCGGTGCAAGTTACTTTTTTGATGGAAAGAGAGATTTGTGATCATGGGCGACTGTGTCAGATTCCATCTCCTCAGCAACCCTCGACCACCACTCATCCTTGCAGCGCTGCATGGGTCTCCAAATCTCTGAGCGAAGGCTGCGGTAAGCCTTCTCATTTTCCATGGGATATTATAGACGGTGGGAGTGGGCCTTTTGATTTTTCTCAACCAGCCGGAACACCACCGTCAGCCAGGGTCTCTGGGGAGTTCTGGACCGTGTACCCAAAGCAGGCACTGCAGCTGCACGAGCCACAGTCCTAAACCTCGCCCATTTCCCCTCGGCATCCAGACTGTTATAATTATGTCATATAGAGAGCAGTCTGCACACAAATTCCACCCTCAGCCGTTTACTTGGGAGATCATCTATGCCCGGTGCTTTTCTTGGGTCTCAGACTCTGGAACACCTTCCATACTTCAACACATGGGATTTCAGCCGGCCACTCAAAGCGGGCAACGACTTTTTCACCAACAACATTCACACCACCAACACGACCAACAAAAATTAAACTACCAACAAAAAATCCCCCGTATAGCTTTTAAGAGCTAGTTTAGGCAAGTGCTGTTTGCAAACGCCAATGAAGGCCAGCACAGTGTGTGAGGGGGTGGGTGGCCAATACCATGCCCGCTGCTGATATTAACACACACCACCACTCGCTCATACACTGGTGTTTACTTGTCCACACCCAATCGCTCGCTCACACTTGAACCGAGTGCCATTGGCTGAGGTCGTTTTCCATGACCCCGACCTCCCACTCAGCCGATGCCAGTAGCACCGCTCTTCCTCAATAAGCAGTGGTCGCCGTTTTCTAAGAGTATCGGCAAAATGAGGTCTACCATCAAAGCAGAACCTACAGCTCGCTTAGCTTGCCTACTGGGTCAACTTCACCTGACCGGGCTGAAGGTACCTGGGACAAAAATCCCCCGTTTAGCCTCAACAGACTGCACACGAAGGGGTGGGTTGCCATGACCATAGCTGGTTGCCTTTGTCTCACCAGTGCAGATGTTTACACACCGCACCATGTACTAATTTTAATGCCGAGTCAATTTAGGAGAGGCCCAGACCCGGTTCAAATGTTCGCCACTTTGATTGCTCGTGAGCAGAAATTGAAACCGGGTCAGACATTTGGAGCCTAGCATGCTAACCACTGCGCCACCACTCCCAACTAATCACCAACACCACTCACGCCACCAACACCACTGCAAACACCACCACCACACGAAAAACAACAGCCACCATTCGCCACTAAGTGGTGGTAAAGTGACCAACTTTGAGACTACGTGATAGGTCACAGTACAGACCCAGGTGCCATAGGTTGACTGACTGAGATGTCTGGCAAATGCACCAGCTGTGCCCCCGACTGTGCCAACTTGCTGAATTTTAGCTGCCTGGCACTCTGCTTGTTGTTGTGAGCATCGCTCCTCTGCCCTACGTTGTTGTTGGAGGGCAACTTTCTCCAATTGCTCAGTAGCATCTTTCAAGAGCCTCTTCCATAGAGGCCGATCTTGATACCGCTTGTACCAGTGTTCGGCAAGTCCACTCAGCTCCAAATCTTCTTGTACCACATCACTCCATCTCTTCTCTAGCCCGTGCCACGCCCATTTAGCCCCCTCTATCCGGCCGAACACACTGTTTAGGCATGCGGTGGCTGGGCATGCGGGCTACATGACCCAGCCATGCCCGTCTATCACTACCAACACCACTCGCACCGCAAACACCACTACCAACATTACCAACACCAGCGCTACCAACACGGCTGATACCGGCACCCCACTAGAAGAATCCACACACAATATGACGACGCCAGGCGGCTGCACGCTTTAACGGCGAGCCACCGTGGCCCGTCTCGCTGTATTGCACATCGCCGAGGACACATGCCGTACAGCACTCGTGGTTCTGCTTTGTTTTCTTTTTAAAATGCCGTCGTGCTAATTTACAGAGATATCGCAATATACAAGAGATTACAGGCACGGACAACAAAAGGCAAACAAAATTGGCCGCGTGGCCGCGACGGCCACTACGCATCCTCCGAGCTCTTCTCATCGCCCACTTTGGAATTTAAGTAGAACATAAAATACCTCACAACCACCACACGCGTCGCACATTTAGCATTCCCAGGTCCGTGCTCCCTTAGAGCTCCTGACACGCACTGTCGCTGGAGTGCCAAGTCCACCGGCGCTCCGGGGTTCTGGCATTCCAGGGTTCCGGGATTCCGGGAAGCGGTTTCTCGGTGTCCCCAAGGTGCCGGTGTTGCGCGCGAGGCTTCCTCGGCCAGCAGGGGCCGTCTCCACGTTGAGCACGCTAGTCCAGCTTGCGGACCCCGAGGCGCAGCGGCCCCTTGGCGGCCCGGCGCTCGGCCCGCTTGGCCTCCAGCTCCTGCTGCCTCTGCTGCCGCCGCTCCTCCCGCTTCTTGCGCGCTTCCTCGGCTGGATTCGCGGCTGCGTGCGGGAATCGAACACGGTCGTCACGACAGCAACCTCCCCTCCCCGACGCGAACCGGAACCATGCCGAGCTGGCTCCGGATCGCGGCACCGTCACCAGCCCAGAGTGGAGCACAGAGGGCCGGGAGGACTAGCGAAGATAAGCTGCGCTCAAACAATTCCCGTAGAGTGCGCGTTGAGAGCGGTGCGGTGTGGTGTGCTCTGCGAGTGTGTCGTGTTTGGGTGGGGTGGTGTGCTCTGGTAAAAGTGTTGTGTTTGCACAATGCAGTACGGTGTGGTCGTTGAGCAGTGCACACCGAGGCGTGCGTGTTACCTGCACTTGGCTCCAGGGATTCCCAATTTCCTTCCAGATCCCAGCCGCCCCCTCCTGCGTCCTGCACACATCACGCATCTGCTCTCAATGCCCCATCGCTGCCGTGCGTGTCACGACCACGTGTGCTGCCATCTTGTATGCCAAACCTTGCTATGCCATATCCACGTGCACCATATCTACATGTGCTATACCCTTGTAATGTACCAAAGTGCTTTAAGAATAATAATAATAATGATGATGGCCCTTCACCCTGGAAAGGCTCACTGAGTCTCAGGACTCTTTTTCACGAGAGTCCTACATTATGATGATTGGCCAATTCAATTCAGTGTCACGTGCGGTGTTTTGAGGCCTGGCTTCAAGTTGGGAGGTAACGTGTAAAGCTCCACACAGGTCCATTGCTGCATCATGGGACCTCCTTTGCCAGTACCAAAATATGAGAATAGGTTTTCCCCTTTTTGCTGGCAACAAAACAGGTGTTAAGTTGTTAAAACACCAAACTGAAACCTTTCACAAGGAATCATGTCTGCATTGACCACAATACTTGATGCCAAAAGAGGTCTTCTCCAACCTGAAGAGGGTCAGGCGCATGCAACAGTGATGTGGTCATAGGCTGTAGGTGCGCGGTGCGCTGTGCCCGCGCGCGCCCCGTACCTGCGTGCGCGGGGCAGTGCCCTCCCAGTCATAGGCACTCGCTGGCTTCACGTCGTCGGCGGCGTCTTTGGCGGCGGCTCCTTTCCCCGTGGCGCGGCTCGACGCGGTCTCCTCCCCCCAGTCGTTGGCCCACTCCTCCAGGTCGCGTCCCTGCTGAGCTGGAGCCGCTACTGCCGTCCGCTTCTCTGCAGCCCCCGCGGGGCGACCCCAAGACGCCTCCTCCCCCCAGGCATCGTCCCACCTGGAGGAGGCGGCGGGCGGCCGGCTCGGGGCCATCTGACGGACGCACACGACGTCCGGCGTTTCACAATCCACGCAGATATTTAACATTTTTGTTTAAACGCAGTTTCTGATTGGCAATTGATTATTTTGGAAGTCAGATTTTGCAAGTGAAATGCGTGTCGTACCGCCTCCACCACCTGACACAGACAATTAATAAAGTCGTCATGTGAACAAACGTGCCGATTTATCACTGCTTCAGAAGCCCCCAAATATGAAATGGTGCAATGACCCCTTTTAGCACCGATTCGATTAGTGCGTGGGTGAGCGTGCAATAGTTTGTGTGTGTTGTTGTAACCTGCAGTGTGGCGAGTGGGTGAGTAGGCGAGTAAGTGAGTGGGTGAGTGTGCGATAGTTTGAGTGACTGTGTTGTTGTTCCATCATCCAGTGTGTTGAGTTGGTGAGTAGGCGAGTGAGTGTGTAGGTGAGTTACTGAGTGGGTGAGTGTGCGATAGTTTGAGTGTGTTCTTGTAACCTGCAGTTTGGCGAGTTGGTGAGTGGGTGAGTGAGTGGGTGGGTGAGTGTGCGATAGTTTGAGTGTGTTCTTGTAACCTGCAGTTTGGCGAGTTGGTGAGTGGGTGAGTGAGTGGGTGGGTGAGTGTGCGATAGTTTGAGTGTGTTCTTGTAACCTGCAGTTTGGTGAGTCGGTGAGTGGGTGAGTGTGCGATAGTTTGAGTGTTGTTTGTTTATTAAGTTTTTGAGCCAGCTGGCCGGGAATTGGAAAAACTAATCCCACTACTTTCCACCTCGGAAACTGGAGAGCACAGACTAAGTGTTGCTGGCGTAACATTAAACCGAACAATAACATATTGAAGAATCACAGTTAAGAGACAAACAACATAAATATGCCATTAAAATAATAAGTAAAAACGTTTAAAACTAAAAATATCATCAATGGTCCTCATACTGCCCGGGACACTGTTTCAGTGCCCAATGAGGCTGCTATTAGTATGTAAATAAGAACTTCACGAGCAACAACTGGAAAATGTTTGCAATTTAAACCTGCAGCGTAGTGAGTGGGTGAGTAGGTGAGTGAGTGTGCTGTTGTAACCTGCAGTGTAGTGAGTAGGTGAGTAGGTGAGTGAGTGGATAAGTGGCTGATAGTTTGAGTGAGTGTGCTGTTGTAACCTGCAGTGTAGTGAGTGGGTGAGTAGGTGAGTGAGTGGATAAGTGGCTGATAGTTTGAGTGAGTGTGCTGTTGTAACCTGCAGTGTAGTGAGTGGGTGAGTAGGTGAGTGAGTGGATAAGTGGCTGATAGTTTGAGTGAGTGTGCTGTTGTAACCTGCAGTGTGGTGGGTGGGTGAGTAGGTGAGTGAGTGGGTAAGTGGCTGATAGTTTGAGTGAGTGTGCTGTTGTAACCTGTAGTGTGGTGGGTGGGTGAGTAGGTGAGTGAGTGGGTAAGTGGCTGATAGTTTGAGTGAGTGTGCTGTTGTAACCTTCAGTGTGGTGGGTGGGTGAGTAGGTGAGTGAGTGGGTAAGTGGCTGATAGTTTGAGTGAGTGTGCTGTTGTAACCTGCAGTGTGGTGGGTGGGTGAGTAGGTGAGTGAGTGGGTAAGTGGCTGATAGTTTGAGTGAGTGTGCTGTTGTAACCTGCAGTGTGGTGGGTGGGTGAGTAGGTGAGTGAGTGGGTAAGTGGCTGATAGTTTGAGTGAGTGTGCCGTTGTAACCTGCAGTGTGGTGGGTGGGTGAGTAGGTGAGTGAGTGGGTAAGTGGCTGATAGTTTGAGTGAGTGTGCTGTTGTAACCTGCAGTGTGGTGGGTGGGTGAGTAGGTGAGTGAGTGGGTAAGTGGCTGATAGTTTGAGTGAGTGTGCTGTTGTAACCTGCAGTGTGGTGGGTGGGTGAGTAGGTGAGTGAGTGGGTAAGTGGCTGATAGTTTGAGTGAGTGTGCTGTTGTAACCTGCAGTGTGGTGGGTGGGTGAGTAGGTGAGTGAGTGGGTAAGTGGCTGATAGTTTGAGTGAGTGTGCCGTTGTAACCTGCAGTGTGGTGGGTGGGTGAGTAGGTGAGTGAGTGGGTAAGTGGCTGATAGTTTGAGTGAGTGTGCTGTTGTAACCTGCAGTGTGGTGGGTGGGTGAGTAGGTGAGTGAGTGGGTAAGTGGCTGATAGTTTGAGTGAGTGTGCTGTTGTAACCTGCAGTGTGGTGGGTGGGTGAGTAGGTGAGTGAGTGGGTAAGTGGCTGATAGTTTGAGTGAGTGTGCTGTTGTAACCTGCAGTGTGGTGGGTGGGTGAGTAGGTGAGTGAGTGGGTAAGTGGCTGATAGTTTGAGTGAGTGTGCTGCTGTAACCTGCAGTGTGGTGGGTGGGTGAGTAGGTGAGTGAGTGGGTAAGTGGCTGATAGTTTGAGTGAGTGTGCTGTTGTAACCTGCAGTGTGGTGGGTGGGTGAGTAGGTGAGTGAGTGGGTAAGTGGCTGATAGTTTGAGTGAGTGTGCCGTTGTAACCTGCAGTGTGGTGGGTGGGTGAGTAGGTGAGTGAGTGGGTAAGTGGCTGATAGTTTGAGTGAGTGTGCTGTTGTAACCTGCAGTGTGGTGGGTAGGTGAGTGAGTGGGTAAGTGGCTGATAGTTTGAGTGAGTGTGCCGTTGTAACCTGCAGTGTGGTGGGTGGGTGGGTGAGTAGGTGAGTGAGTGGGTAAGTGGCTGATAGTTTGAGTGAGTGTGCTGTTGTAACCTGCAGTGTGGTGGGTGGGTGAGCACGTGAGTTGAGTTCGTGATAGGGTGAGCGGGTGATAGATTTACTATTGATTTTTACTATTTTTATTTTGCCAGGTAAGGCTCACTGAGCGATGCAGCTCTTTTTCAGAAGCGACCCTGGCCACAAATGCTCGCTCAATGAAGTTGCTTATCGTGAGGAATGTGTATAGCAACAAAATACTCTAAACGCGTGATGCTGATTGTAAATGCGGAGGAAAAAAACCGGAGGACCCGGAAAACAATCCACGCGACCACGATGAGACAGAGAGAGAGACACGCAGACTCCAAATACATAGGCGTCAGGATTGGGGTCGCACTCACAACCTCCTGTATGTATGCTGTGAGTAGATGAGTGTTTGGGTGAGTGAGCGAGTGACTGAGTGAATAAGTGAATGGGTGAGTAGGTGAGTGGTTGGGTGAGTGAGCGGGTGACTGAGTGAATAGGTGAGTGGGTGAGTGGTTGGGTGAGTGAGCGAGTGACTGAGTGAATAGGTGAGTGGGTGAGGAGGTGAGTGGGTGAGTAGGTGAGTGGTTGGGTGAGTGAGCAAGTGACTGGAGTGAATAGGTGAATAGGTGAGTGGTTGGGTGAGTGGGTGAGTAGGTGAGTGGTTGGGTGAGTGGGTGAGTAGGTGAGTGGTTGAGTGAGTGAGCGAGTGACTGAGTGAATAGGTGAGTGGGTGAGTGGGTGAGTGGGTGAGTGGTTGGGTGAGTGAGCGGGTGACTGAAGTGAATAGGTGAGTAGGTGAGTGGTTGGGTGAGTGAGCGAGTGACCGAGTGAATATGTGAGTGGGTGAGTAGGTGGGTGGTGGGGTGAGTGAACGAGTGACTGAGTGAATAGGTGAGTGGGTGAGTGGTTTGGTGAGTGAGCGAGTGACTGAGTGAATAGGTGAGTGGGTGAGTAGGTGAGTGGTTGGGTGAGTGAGCGAGTGACTGAGTGAATAGGTAAGTGGGTGAGTAGGTGAGTGGTTGGGTGAGTGACTGAGTGAGTGAATAGGTGAGTGGGTGAGTAGGTGAGTGGTTGGGTGAGTGAGCGGGTGACTGGAGTGACAAGGTGAGTGCTCGATCATCAATCACCCTGATACTATAAAGAGTAAAGAGTGAGGAGGTAAGTGGGAGCTCCACCCCAGGTTGCACATGAATCCAACAGCATGCGTCAGCTGTGCCCTCAGACGAATGCGAGCCTCAGGGCTGGGAATCAGAATTCTGATTCTGAGGTTGCACTTCAAGACAATTGCGTGTACGAGCTGCGACTTCGGACAATGCGAGCCTCAGGGCTGGGACTATAAGAGGCAGACTGGGGACTCCGCTACAGAGCAAGTGCGTGGAAGGGAGAAACCCTACAAAAGTTCTAGAAGCTTCGATTGAATTTCACATTCATATCCAGTAAACATGTAGCTGCCACGGTGCAATGGTTCGCAGCACACCACTGGACTTGGTATCCAGAGGTCGCTGGTTTGATCTCAGGGCATGGCAGTTAAAGGGATGGTACAAGTTTCTTAAATCCCTCCACCTCTGTCTACCCAGCTGTACGTATGTGTACCACCACAGATAGTCTTTCAGCAGATTTCGTGTGGTGGGGTGAAGTGTAGCTACTGCCACCTCTTCTGAGATGTCTGGCCAGCATGGAAGAGTAGGCCAAATACACTACCCTTCGGAAGGGCTCTAGAGCTCCCTCTGCTGGAGGCATTCTGCCAGTAGTGGCGTGAGGGAAATTGGAGTGCTGCTCCTTTAACTTTTAACTTCGCCCGTCAATACATTCACAGGATGTGGTTCACACGGAGCATGAGCGAGCGAGCGTGTGGGACGTCCTCACAGCACCTTCATGGGGTTCGGAGTCTTGTCCGTCTGCCTGTCCTTCTCTGCGGCTGCGCGGCTCGCCGACTGCGATTGCTCCTGTGCACGTAGGCGACACACGGGGGGGGTGGGGGGCGGGGGAACCCACACACCTCCGTCAGGTTCAAGCTCTCGTCGGGTTCAGCGCCGAGTCGGCGACGTCCACAACAAGTGACTGGCGCTGGTGGTTGAGGTGGGGAGCAGGCACCTCCAGGCTGCCCCAGTCCCCGTCGTCATCCCACCCTCCCTCCTCCTCCTGCTGCTGCTCCTCGTCCTCCTCCACCTCGTGCTCCTCCTCCTCTTCCTCCTCCTCTGCCCGGGAAGCTTCTGCTGCGCGAGGCACCGCTCCGCCTCCTCGTGTCCTCTCCACTTTGTCCCGCGCTGCACAGCGGTCACGACCAACGCGAGTGAGCGACGCGGCCTCGCGCTAAACGGTGAGCGCACTGCCGCAACCGACGCCGGAGCAGAGCGAGTGACGGTGCGGGGGGGGGGGCGCGAGAAGGACGCGTTACCGTCTGCACCGGCCGCGCCAGCGGCGCCGGGGGCTGCCGCGGCGACTGGCGGCTGCGTCGGCGCGGCCGCCGGCTGTCCGTGCTCGGAGGAGGGCGGCTGCTCTGCGGGACCGGTGGGGCCCGAGCGGATGAGCTTGGAGGTGAGCGAGGTCACACCCGTCACGGCCCAACCCGCCCACCCTCCACCCGCCAGGCTTCCATCGGGACCCCTGGCCCCCCCACCCACTCCTGCGTGTACATCCTTCTCTGGGGGGAGAGGGGTGGTGGGGGCAAGGGGGTAGCATCGGGGTCAAGTGTCAGGGGTCGCCACTTACAGCGATCAGCTCCCAATAATCGCAAAGCTCTCCTCCCATTGTCTCTGCCCCAGACGCTGTTACACATTACTTTACACCTTATGAGAATTAAACTTTAAAAATGTTTCCCGATGACCAATTTATGAATCGGCACAAGAGCCCTTGCCACTCGTTTTAAGAAATGCGTCGGCTCTTCGTTGCAACCTCAGTGGTGCTGTTCGGTGTAGGCCGCTTGAAACTTTTAGCCTTTGAGTGATGCTCGCACACTCTGCTGTCGTTGTTGTCAGCGTGATATGTTCACTGCTGGACAAGGTCTCCCCCCCGCCGCTCTCTCCAATTCCTCCCTCTCCTTCGTTGCTCCTGTCCAGTCATGGCCTCCGAACCCCTCAAACACCACGACGTCATCCTGGGGGGGGACTCACGGGACCCCTCACCTGGTGAGAGCCATAGCCCACAGGTAGGCGAGGGTGAGCGTGGGGTCAGGGGGCGCGGAGGGGATGACCTACCCAGCTCAGCCTGCTTGCTCGAGTCTTCCGATAACGTCTCCAGCTTCCCCAAGAAGCACTTCACTGCCTTGAAGACCTGTCCAAAGACAAAGATCCCCCCCCGCATAGCCTTATGAGACATTTGGGGCAAGTGCTGTTAGCGAGCACCTATGAGAGGCCAGCATGGCACACGATGGGGTGGGTTGTGGCCAGGACCACGTTAAGCTGCCTTTGTCTCCCCAGTGGCGATGTTTACACACCGCACCCAGGTACTCATTTGAGATAATCGTCATTGGTGCTGGCCATGTTGGCCATGAGAGGGAATTGCACTCGGGGCGCCGGGTTCATAGCGCACATGCATATACGAATGGACAGCCGAAATTCACTCTCACCCACACACACACAGCCTTTCACTCACACTTAGATGTTCAAACACAGGAATTGCTCACTCATTCAATCATCCAACTGTTCACTCACCCACACACCGAGACGTTCAATCGCTCACCCAAATGATCACTCACTCAGCCAGACTTTCACTCACACACCCATCTGATCACTCACACACCCATCTGATCACTCACACACCCATCTGATCACTCACACACCCATCTGATCACTCACTCACACACCCAGCTCATAACTCACACATCCATCTGTTCACTCACACACCCATCTGATCACTCACACACCCATCTGTTCACTCACACACCCATCTGATCACTCACTCACACACCCAGCTCATAACTCACACACCCATCTGATCACTCTCACACACCCAGTTGATCACTCACTCACTCCATTACCCAACTGATGATTCACTCACACACCCAGCTAATAACTCACACACCCATCTGATCACTCACACACCCATCTGATCACTCACACACCCAGCTCATAACTCACACACCAAGTTGATCACTCACTTACACAGCCAACTGATGATTCACTAACACACCCAGCGAATCACTTCCTCATCCAGCTGATCACTCCCTCACACACACACCCAGCTGATTGCTCACTGACTTACCCAGCTGATCACTCACTCACCCACACACTCCGCTGCCCACCCTTCCGTGTGCGAGCATCTGTGCGGCCCGGGGCCTCACCTGGTCGCGCACGTTGCGGTCGGGGTCGATGGAGAGGGCGCACAGCGTGGGCAGGATGCGCGCGGCGCACTCGCTCAGGGGGTAGAAGTTGTGCGTCGCCGCAAAGCCCAGAACGCCGGCGGCGCGCGACGGCGGGAACGGGTCCTTGGTGGCGCGGGAGAACGCCGAGGTCAGCACGCGCTGGCGCGTCTGGGCACACGCACAAACACAGAGATCCCACGTGTAGCCGTTAACAGACGGTTGGAGCAAGTGCATTAGGGGGTTAGTGGCCAGCACCACGCCCGGCCGTCTTTCCGATGCCGATGTCTACACACCACACCATGTATTCATTTGAGGCCGAGTCAGGATTGGTTCAAATATTTACCACGGTTATTGGTCATGACCAGGAATTGAACTCGGAATGCCGGGTTCGTAGCGTGCTGCGTCAACCACGACAAAAACAACACACACAACGCACACGTCTGTTTAATTTACAAGCTGTTCAGCCAAAGCCAATGAGCGAGCCATTTTAAAGGGAACTGAAAAAGACTGGGGAGTGGTGTAATGCTTCGTACATTGGACCTGCAATCCAGTTTCAGTGGGTTCACCACAATGTCACTTTGCAGGTGACGTGCGGTGGGGTAAAGTGTGGGTACTCCTACCTCTTCCAAGTCGTCTGGGCAGGCAGCGTGGAAGATCATCCCAAAAATACCCTCTCTTTCTCTCGAGGGACTCTCAACATCTCCCTCTATTGGAGCAGTGGGACGAGCAAGCAATCGCAGGTCTGCACCTTTACCTGAACCGAGGAGACCGTGAAAGACGCAGCAGTGCAGCTTATGAGCAGCAGCAGCAGCGAGCACCGCCGGTTGGGCACCAATGCACGAGCGAGCAAATGAGCGCCGTACTCCCCGAGTCATGAACGCCTCCGATCGGCACGGCAAGCGGCCTGCAAAGCTGCCTTGAGCGCCCCCCCCCACCCCGAGAGGCTCGCGCTTCCGCTCCAAACGCGAGGAACCCCGGGGGAGGTGATCCACGCCTTTGATTTTACACCTCGGCGTGGCGGCTAGAATGGAGGATGTGCTGGGGGGTGGGGGGGGGGCTATGACCGGGACGGGGTGGGGGAGGAATTCCCGTCAGCGTGTCTCGGGAGGGGAGGGGCCCCTCGCTCACGGTGGGGGAGAGGTACGGCGCGATCTTGCCCAGGCACACGGTGGTGTTGCAGCGGATGGGACCCTGCTCGTCCTTGGCCTGGAGCCGAGCAAAGTGCTTCATGAGCTCCACGTTCAGGTTGTTCTCGTTCAGCTTGGGCGCAAGAAGCAGCATCGACTGCACGCGTACAGACACGCGCGTACAGGCACGCGAGCACATGCACGGGCTCAGTCTTCAGGCTCATCGATATAGACGATCATCACTTAAACACGCACCAGCACGACCACATACACACACGCGCACACACGTAAACACGCTCGTCTACGTCAACATTCGTGATCCTTGCCATCACGCAAACACACACGAGCACACATCCTCTTACACAGACACACGCTCGCATGCATGCACACACACGCCACACACACATGAGCACACAGAAACGCACAAACAGCACGCACGCAGACACGAAAATCGAGATTCCTGCTGTCTGAGCATTCTGTGCTGGTAGCGCCACAGCGGTGTAGTCGGGGGGTGGCGAGGGGGGAGCGAGGGGGGCAAGGGGGTGGGGGGCGAGGGGTGGCGAGCGGGGGCGTGGGGGGGTGCGCAGGACTGGGGGCTCACCTTGACCGTCTGCTCGCGGATGGCCGGGTTAGAGTCGAGGAAGCCGTGGGCGACGTGGGGGAAGATCTGCGAGTTGACGGTGGTGTCCGTCAGGTACGGGATGAACATCTCCATCTGCGCGCACGGGCACCCAGGGGGCGTCACGGGCTCCTCAACGGCACTCGCATTCACGCACCTCCCGCATCAGTGGCACCGGGAGGAGGGACACACCATGAGGCAGACACTGGGAGAGGGGCATCTGAGAGGCAGTCGCAAAGCCACGAGAGTCATCAAGATCGTCATTGTCATCAGTCATGCTCGACCCACTGATGGATGAAAGTTTCCCTCAAGCCGTCACCATTTCTCACGACGGCCCTGCGACGTTAACAATTCGCCTGTCGCCAGCCCGCGAGCCGATTTCGTCGCTCCACCTCCGCGGCGGACGCGCTTTGGAGCCATATAGAAGTAGTTCCGCTTCGTGTGGTGTGCAAAGGCTGGGCTAATGGGCGGCCGTGCAGTGTACGAGACGCAGCTGTTGGGCTGAGACTGCATCGTCTCAGCTGCTGCCTCGGGTCAGCTGCTCGTGGCAGGGGAAGAAGGGGGAGGGGTGCAGGAAGGAGGGGGCAGGAAGGAGGGGGCAGGAAGGAGGTGTCGCTCCTGGACTCCTGGCAGCTGCATGCCTCACGGCTGCCACTCGTGTTTGGGTGTCAGCCTCCCCCCCCCACCCCCCAACTGAACTTCAAACGAGCTCCTCCGCAGATTAACAAGCGCCACGCATCCCACACGGCCACGCGCCAAGCTCACCACCACCCCCACCTCGGCACGCGCGCACACAGAGACAAAGATCCCCCTATAGTCTTCACAGCCTGCTGGGGCAAGTGCTCTTGGAGAGCGCCTGTGAAGGCCGACCCGGCCTGCAAAGGAGTGGTGTGGCCAGCACCACACCAGGCTCCCCAGTGCTGATATTTAATGCACACGGCCACCCACGCGGCCGAGTATTTGTGTGCCAGTCCGGGCATCCGGCGCCCACACAGAGAAATTGGACGTCCAGATGAACAGCATCCGCCGGACAACAACGGGCGAACTGAAATGTACCGACACCGAGTGGCTCCCTGTTCTGGCCAACGTGCCACGATATCAAACCGCCTGGAGAACGCATCGGCCTTCTGTTACACCAACACCTGCTCGACCCTCCACGAACTCGTCCAAGACCCCGGGAACCAGTCTGGGATCGCCGCGCGAGACAATCGTGTGAAGCAGCGTCAACCGAAGGCCGCTGGCGAACGCCGCGGGGCCCCCACCACCGCCCCGCACGGCTCTGTTCTGCCAAGAACAACTGCGGTGGCCCCATCATCAACCGCTTGAGAGCGGCGACCGCTCGCTGCTGCGCACGCATCTTCCACAACCAGGACATGACCGGTGCCCCCCCTCAGTGCAGGCGGACTGCAGCGCGGTGACCGACGGCATCGTTCCACTCGGCTCGCTCGCCACCCGTGGACCGGACAGCGGTCGTCGCGCTACTCCCGCAGCTCGCGTGACATGGCTCGCCAACTTAAACCTGCACGCTTAGACTAAACTAATTGACGTACACTTGCCACACGCTAGAAGGAGAATGCACACCGCGCCACGTACTCATTTGAGGCCGAGTCGACCGAGGTGATGCCCAGAACCAGTTTAGATAATCGTCACTGGCGTTGTCCGCGAGCGGGAATCGAACTCGGGGCGGCGGGTTCATAGCACAGCGCGCTAACCGCTGCGCCACCGCTCCCCACGCGCAGACGCGCACGCAGACACACACGCGCGTGTGCGACGCACCGGCACACGGAAGTCGGGGGAAGGGAGGCGCACCATTAAAAGTGCTGCAAATCACGGGCAGGGCAGTTGTTGTGACGTGCAGTAAATGTTTGGAGCGGACCGCATCAATGTAAACAGACCTCCGGCCCGTTTACCCAATGCAGGGGGGATAGCATAAACAGAATTTGTGGCGACCTGGACCACACGGCAGCGGGGGGGGGGGGGGGGGGGGGGGGGAGTGGGGGATGACACGGCGCCGTGAACAGCTGTGTGTGTGCGGCTATGCGAGTGTGTGTGTGTGGGCACACTGTATGATTTTTGCGTGTGTGTGCGTGTGCGAGCTCGTGTGCCTCTTATCTGCTGTAAATACGCATGCATGTAACGTCTGCAGCAGTTACATCTGGAGGGAGTGTATTCCAAATGAACTGGTGGTGTGTATCAACGAATCATTCACGTGCTTATCAGTGTGTGTGACTTGGTGCGGATAACAGTGTATAAATGTGGTATTCACTCTACAATGACTGTACAAATGCAAACTGTAGAGGTTGTAGATTCAACGTGTGTGTGTGTATATACATACACGGTGTCTTCACGTGTTTGCTGCGTGTGCCTGAATCGGCACCCAGAGTCCCAGCGTAAATGAGATGTTCCACCTCTAGTGATTTTCTCGGTGAAATATTTAATTACAAAAATAAATGAATGCATCCAATGAGCACCGATGCATCAGGCCCTCTACGCGCGTCAATAACGGTTGTTGTTTTTTGCTCCGGTGAGCTCGCCCACTTCCTACCCTGCAATGTCCCGTGACTTGGTCTTGGGCCGCGGTCGTCCTTGTAACGATGCTGCTCGGCTCAATGGGCCTTAGCAGCTGAGATAACAAGAGTGCGAGCGCGGGTGACCAACACGACGGCGAGGACAGACGCTGGCGTGATGGAACCACAAACGGTGGGGGGAGGGGCACGGAATCTACAGGCGGCACGCGGCAGAAGCGTCGGGTCGCCTTGTGCGCCGGAGGCGCGAGGCGAACTCGAGGACCCGCGGCTCTGGCCACGCGTGTGCGGTTGTGCCCACGCGTGGCGCGGTGTGTAAACATCGCTACTTGGGAGACAAAGACGACCGGGCGTGGTGCTGGCCACCCACCCCCTCGTGTGCCATTCCTGCCTTCATAGGTGCTCGCTAACAGCACTTGCCCCAACAGTTTGTTAAGGCTATACAGGGAATCTTTGTATTTGTGCGTGCCTCCAGGTCAGGAGACATGTGGGGTCTGGGCTGCCTGGTCTGGGAGGTGTTCAATGGCCCGCTGCCCAGACCATCATCTTTAAAGGCACTGGGGAAGGTGAGCGAGTGGAGGTGGTGGGGCCGGGGGCCATCGCGCTCCGTTGTATTTAAGCGTGGCTGTGCGTGTGCATGCGTGTGTGCGTGTGTGCATGTAGTGTGCGTGCGTGTGTGAGTGCGTGTGTGAGTGCGCGTGTGTGTGCGTGTGTGCGTGACTGTACGTGTGTGCGTGCGTGTGTGCGTGTGTGTACGTGTGTGCGTGGCTGTACGTGTGTGTGTGCGTGCGTGCCCCAGCACCTGCTGCAGCAGCTTGATGCGAGTGGCGCGGTCCGTGGAGGAGAACATCTTGACGAGCACCGGGATGATCTTCTGCTGGTACTCCTCGGTGCTCAACAGCTTCCCGATCTGTGCGTGGGTAAATCGCACAAAGACAAAGGTCCCCCGTGCAGCCTGCACATGCTGTTGGGGCAAGTGCTGCCAGTGAGCACCTACAAAGGCTGGTACGGCGCAATTAGGGGGTGATCTGGCCAACACCACGCACAGCCGCCTTCAGCTCCCCAGTGCCGATGTTTTAAGGCTGAGTCGACCTAGCAGAGGCCCAGGACCGGTTACAATTTTCATCACCAATATAGGCCATGAGCGGGAATCGAATTCAGGTCACTGGGTTCGTAGTACAGTGAGATACCCAATTCACCAATACACCACTGCTCCCCACTCACACACAGACACGCGCGCGCGTGTGTGTGTGCGTAAACACATTGAGGCACTATTTAAATACACATTGTGTTGTATAACAAAGATCCCCCGTATAGCCTTAACAGACTGTAGGAGCAAGTGCTGTTAGCGAGCACCTATGAAGGCCGGCAGGGCACACAAGGGGGTGGGTGGCCAGCACCACACCCAGCCACCTTTGTCTCCCTAGTGGCGATGTTTACACACCGCACCAGGTACTCATTTGAGGCTGCGCCGACCTAGGGGAAGCCCAAGACCAGTTAAGATAATCGTCACTGGTATCGACCTCGGGTCGCTGGGTTCATCGCGCAGCGCGCTAACCGCGACACCACCGCTCCGCATATTGTGCACACACACAAAAACACAGACATGCCTCATGGAGCCGTCCGACTGTTGTCAGCGAGCACCTATTAAGTGCCGCTATCGAGCACCTACGAAGAGCGGCGACGGCGACGCGCGAGGGGGCGGCGGTGCACCCGGCCGCACCGTCCCCGCAGGCGCTCGCGCGACCCCGCACCTTGAAGAGCGGCGTGAGCACCACGGCGCCGGCGCCGCCAAACTCGAACGCGGTGAGCAGCTGCGGCAGGATGCGGCGCCGGCAGTACTCGTCCGGGAAACCGTCCAGGTGATCGCTCAGCGTTCCAAAGAATTCCTGCTTCTCCGCCGCGTCCTTGATCTGCGCGCGGGGACAGAACGGCGGACACGGCGGATCCCGTCACGACGTTGTGCGTCGGTTCGCCCGCGACCCAATCGGCCTGGAGCGGGTAAAGGTGAAGCCCTGCAACTTCCTGCGCGTGCCAACCGGTTTGATCGTTGGCGAGATTGAACTGGATTCGATTGTCGATTCCACGACTCGTAGAATCGATCCAAAAATGAATCGACAGTGCTTTACCCGACTCGTCTCAAGCAGCCACCTTATCTTCCGGTGGTAAGTGTAAAATTTTAATGTAAGTTTATTTACATTTCAAAAATATTTCTTCTGGTTACATTGTTTTAAATCTAAGAAGATGTTATCATTGAAGGCTGTTCAGCGAGTCACTTCACAACCTTCATCGTTTTCTCTCTTCACCCTCCAAAGCTACGTTTTCTATTGCTTAGCGACTAACACTGTAACATGCATTTTTACACAAATTTCATGTTCATATTTAATTAAACTATGCTATCCAACTAAAACGCAATCATTCAAGAACACGAAAAATCTAACAATATAACAAATTAACACGAAAAATATCAGTCACGCCTTAATTCCCATTGACTCAATGGTTATCATAACGCGATTTTTCCATAATGCGGTGTTTCTTCAGGAACGCAAATAGCACGTGATAGGAGAGCCGTCCTTCACCGGCCCCCCATGCGGTCGGGCGTGCGGCCGCACCTGGATCTCCTCGAGGAAGAGGCTCGTATCCACAAAGCCGTTGTGCATGAAGCCCCCGGGCGCCCGGCAGCTGAGCAGGAAGCGCGCGGGGTTGGGGCGCAGGCGCGGGTTGGCACCCACCAGTTCGCAGTAGTGCGGCACGAGGGACTGCGGGATCTGGGAAGGCCGCAAACGCGCGATCGCATGAACACAGGCGTGACGATAATATGCTTGATCGCGGCGCGGTCGCACAAGCGATGATTGTACGTGCGATCACGTGATCTCACAATAGATCGCACACGCGATCAAACGTTCACACGATCACGAGCGCGGAATCACACACAAGTAAGAAGACACACTCTCGTATTCACACACACACGTTCACGCACAATGACACGAACGTTAAATAATACATTCACACACATGATAAAGATTCCCAATATAACCTTAACAGACTGCTGGGGCAAGTGGTGTTAGCGAGCACCTATTAAGGCCAGCACGGCACATGAGGGGAGACTGTGGCCAGAACCTCACCTGGCTGCCCTTTGTCTCCCTAGTGGCAATGTTTAAACACAGCGCTTGGTATTGTTTTAAGGCCGATCTACCTAGGGGAGGCCCAGGACCAGCTGAGATTCGCTGCCAATGTTATTGGTTGTGAGCAAGCATCGGGTCGCCAGATTCAAAGCGCACTGTCATAACAACTGCCACACCACTCCCAACAAAGATCGCCCCGTATAGCCGTAACAGACTGTTGCTGTTAGCGAGCACCTCTGAAGGCTGGCATGGCACGCGAGAAGGTGGGTGGAGAACAACACGCCCAGCCGTCTTTGTCTCCCTCGGGAGAATGTTTACACACCGCACCAGGTACTCATGAGGCTGAGTCGACCTAGGGGAGGCCCAGGACCGGTCCAGATAATCGTCACTGGTGTTGGTCATGAGTGGGAATCGAACTACGGTCGCCAGATGAGTAGCGCAGTGCGCTAACCGCTACACTACCACTCCAAACAAACGCACAGGCACACATGCACACACACACACCGCCAGCAGCTGTTCACTCCCCCTCGGCACTTCATCCAATTACTCAATCACGTGACCTTGCAAATAACTAAATCGCTACAGCGTGCATCGCGCGCGTGCTTAAATACAACGGAGCGCGATGGCCCCCGGCCCCACCACCTCCACTCGCTCACCTTCCCCAGTGCCTTTAAAGATGATGGTCTGGGCAGCGGGCCATTGAACACCTCCCAGACCAGGCAGCCCAGACCCCACATGTCTCCTGACCTGGAGGCACACACAAATACAAAGATTCCCTGTATAGCCTTAACAAACTGTTGGGGCAAGTGCTGTTAGCGAGCACCTATGAAGGCAGGAATGGCACACGAGGGGGTGGGTGGCCAGCACCACGCCCGGTCGTCTTTGTCTCCCAAGTAGCGATGTTTACACACCGCACCAGGTACTCATTTGAGGCTGAGTAGACCTAGGGGAGGCCCAGGACCGGTTCAGATAATCGTCACTGGTGTTGGCCGTGAGCGGAAATCGAACCCGGGTCGCCGGGTTCATAGCGCAGCGTGCTAACCGCTACACAACCGCTCCTCATATTGCGTATGCACACAAAATCAAAGTCCCTGTGCGTACGGGCCCCGATGCTCGCCCCCCCTCCCCCCATTCTGTCCACGCACCACTTCTCGGCGGCGGCCTGGCGAGCGCGCGGATTCTCGGCCCGCTCGGGGGGGTCGTACTTCTCCAGCGCCGGCAGGGCCTTGGCAGGGGGAGTTGACCCTCCACCGCCGTTCGCGTCGCCCGCCGCGCACACGTAGTCCAGGCCGCCCAGCTTCCACTCGCCCGCGGGGTCCACAAAGACGGCTGCCACGCCCACGTTGTTGTGCACGAGGTTGCAGTCGTTGACGAGGAAGCTCAGGGCTTTCTGCGCGGAGGGGAGGGCGGCACGGGCAGCCCGCTAGGATCATGGAGCGCGGCTATTGGCCGGGTCAAGTGTGTGCTCTGTTCCGTGTGGTGTGCGTTCTCTCTGCTGTGTGTGTGCTGTGTGTGTGCTGTGTGTGTGCTGTGTGTGTGCTGTGTGTGTGCTGCCTGCTGTGTGTGTGCTGTGTGTGTGCTGTGTGTGTTCTCTCTGCTGTGTGTGTGCTGTGTGTGTGCTGTGTGTGTTCTCTCTGCTGTGTGTGTGCTGTGTGTGTACTGTGTGTGTGATGTGTGTGTGCTGCCTGCTGTGTGCTGTGTGTGCTGTGTGTGTGCTGCCTGCTGTGTGTGTGCTGTGTGTGTGCTGTGTGTGTGCCGTGTGTGCCGTGTGTGTGCCGTGTATGTGCTGTGTGTGTGCTGTGTGTGTGCTGTGTGTGCTGTGTGTGTGCTGTGTGTGTGCTGTGTGTGCTGTGTGTGTACTGCGTGTGCTGTGTGTGTACTGCCTGCTGTGTGTGTGCTGTGTGTGTGCTGTGTGTGTGTGCTGCCTGCTGTGTGTGTGCTGTGTGTGTGCTGTGTGTGTGCTGTGTGTGTGCTGTGTGTGCGCTGTATGTGTGCTGTGCTCTGGGTGCCGCACCACGATCTGGTGCAGGCCCCAGGAAACGGCGTTGGCGTTGAGGTCACCGCTGGTGCCGCGCTCGCTGCTCAGATGAACCTCCAGGGGCACCACGGGCTCCGTGACCAGGTAGAGGCACTTGTCAGTCTGCACCCGGCATCACCGCACACACAGACACATACACACCATATACACACACCGTACATACAGACACACACCGTGCACACACACACACCGCACACACACACACAGACACACCATATACACACACCGTACACACACCGTGCACACACCGCACACACACCGCCACACACACACCGCCACGCACACACCGTACACACACCGTGCACACACCGCACACACACACCGTGCACACACCGCACACACACCGCACACACACCGCACACACACCGTGCACACACACACACACCGTATACACACACCGTGCACACACACACACACCATATACACACCGTTCACACACAACGTGCACGCACACCGTGCACACACACATACCATTACACACACACCGTACATGCCGTACAAACCACAACACACATCACACACATCGCATGCACCGTACAGCAGACACAGACCACACGGTTCGCCACCACGAGTTATTGATGATGCCACTGGGGGTGGGGACCTCACAGGGCCAGGGATCTCATGGGGTGTTTTGCGTGGGGGGACCGAGCGAAGCGCGGGGCACACCTCGAGTGCGTCGATGAAGCTCAGAATGTTCGGGTGCCTCATGGTCTTGAGCCGCTTGAGCGAGGCCCTCGCCACGGCGGCCTGCGCCTCGGCGCCAGCGCGGATGTCGAAGACGAAGATGGACACGGGGTCACTGCCGGCCTGCGTGGTCCGAGCAGCACGCACAGCACGCATGACACGAGACACACAGCATGGCAAGCACGGCACGCATGACACACACAGAACGCACAGCACACACAGAATGGGACACACAGCACCCACGGCGCGCACGGCACACACAGCATGCGTGGCATGCACGGCACACACGCACGGGACACACGGCACGGCACAGACAGGGGATCACACACAGCAGGTGTACAGCTCCATCAGGCAGATGAACACGGCCAGGCAAAGCTCAGGTTGGGTTCTCATCGAGTCCAGATCACAGGTCCCCATGAGAGCCCTTGGAATGACAACGCCCTCGAATGATGCTCAGTCGCCAGCTCCCTGTGTCACCATCTCCCCCCCGTGCCCCCCACATCTCCCCCCCCCCCGTGCCCCCCACATCTCCCCCCCCGTGCCCCCCACCCCCCCCCCCCGTGCCCCCCACCCCCCCCGTGCCCCCAACATCTTCCCCCCGCATCTCCCCCCCCCGTGCCCCCCACATCTCCCCCCCCCGTGCCCCCCACATCTCCCTCCCCCGTGCCCCCCCGTGCCCCACCCCCCCCGTACCCCCACCCCCCCGTAGCCCCCCACATCTCCCTCCCGTGCCCCCCACATCTCCCTCCCGTGCCCCCCACATCTCCCTCCCGTGCCCCCCACATCTCCCCTCCGTGCCCCCCACATCTCCCTCCCGTGCCCCCCCACATCTCCCCCCCGTGCCCCCACATCTCCCCCCCGTGCCCCCCACATCTCCCCCCCGTGCCCCCCACATCTCCCCCCCGTGCCCCCCACATCTCCCCCCCGTGCCCCCCACATCTCCCCCCCGTGCCCCCCACATCTCCCTCCCGTGCCCCCCACATCTCCCCCCCGTGCCCCCCACATCTCCTCCCCGTGCCCCCCACATCTCCCCCCCGTGCCCCCCACATCTCCCCCCAGTGCCCCCCACATCTCCTCCCCGTGCCCCCCACATCTCCCTCCCGTGCCCCCCACATCTCCCCCCCGTGCCCCCCACATCTCCCTCCCGTGCCCCCCACATCTCCCTCCCGTGCCCCCCACATCTCCTCCCCGTGCCCCCCACATCTCCCCCCCGTGTCCCCCACATCTCCTCCCCGTGCCCCCCACATCTCCCTCCCGTGCCCCCCACATCTCCCCCCCGTGCCCCCCACATCTCCCTCCCGTGCCCCCCACATCTCCCCCCCGTGCCCCCCACATCTCCCTCCCCCGTGCCCCCCCGTGCCCCACCCCCCCCGTACCCCCACCCCCCCCGTAGCCCCCCACATCTCCCTCCCGTGCCCCCCACATCTCCCTCCCGTGCCCCCCACATCTCCCTCCCGTGCCCCCCACATCTCCCTCCCGTGCCCCCCACATCTCCCTCCCGTGCCCCCCACATCTCCCTCCCGTGCCCCCCACATCTCCCCCCCGTGCCCCCCACATCTCCCCCCCGTGCCCCCCACATCTCCCCCCCGTGCCCCCCACATCTCCCCCCCGTGCCCCCCACATCTCCCCCCCGTGCCCCCCACATCTCCCCCCCGTGCCCCCCACATCTCCCCCCCGTGCCCCCCACATCTCCCCCCCGTGCCCCCCACATCTCCCTCCCGTGCCCCCCACATCTCCCCCCCGTGCCCCCCACATCTCCTCCCCGTGCCCCCCACATCTCCCCCCCGTGCCCCCCACATCTCCCCCCAGTGCCCCCCACATCTCCTCCCCGTGCCCCCCACATCTCCCTCCCGTGCCCCCCACATCTCCCCCCCGTGTCCCCCACATCTCCCTCCCGTGCCCCCCACATCTCCTCCCCGTGCCCCCCACATCTCCCCCCCGTGTCCCCCACATCTCCTCCCCGTGCCCCCCACATCTCCCTCCCGTGCCCCCCACATCTCCCCCCCGTGCCCCCCACATCTCCCCCCCGTGCCCCCCACATCTCCCCCCCGTGCCCCCCACATCTCCCCCCCGTGCCCCCCACATCTCCCCCCCGTGCCCCCCACATCTCCCTCCCGTGCCCCCCACATCTCTCTCCCGTGCCCCCCACATCTCCCTCCCGTGCCCCCCACATCTCCCCCCCGTGCCCCCCACATCTCCCCCCGTGCCCCCACATCTCCCCCCCGTGCCCCCCACATCTCCCCCCCGTGCCCCCCACATCTCCCCCCCGTGCCCCCCACATCTCCCTCCCGTGCCCCCCACATCTCCCTCCCGTGCCCCCCACATCTCCCCCCCGTGCCCCCCACATCTCCCCCCCGTGCCCCCCACATCTCCCTCCCGTGCCCCCCACATCTCCCCCCCGTGCCCCCCACATCTCCTCCCCGTGCCCCCCACATCTCCCTCCCGTGCCCCCCACATCTCCCCCCCGTGCCCCCCACATCTCCCTCCCGTGCCCCCCACATCTCCCTCCCGTGTCACCCACATCTCCCCCCGGTGCCCCCCACATCTCCCTCCCGTGCCCCCCCTCCTGGTGCCACCCCCACATCCGCGCCACGTCACCGCGCTCACCTTACGCTTGCCCTGGTGCAGGCCCCACATGCACCGGCCCTGCAGCGCCTCCACGCGATCCCCGACCTCGAAGGGGAAGTCCTTGGCGGGGTCCCGCGAGAAGAACGACCACATGGCTGGCGGGGGGGGCCGGGGGGGGGCGCGGGGGGCCGCGGGGCACGCGGAGCGAGCGGAATGGGGGGCCGGGAGAGACGCGGGACGCGCCGCTTCACGACACCTCCGCGAGCGCCGTAAAGTAGATCCACCCAGCAGCAGCAGCGCTGCCGTAAAGTAGATCCACTCAGCAGCAGCAGCGCTGCCGTAAAGGAGATCCACTCCGCAGCAGCGGCGATGCCGTAAAGTAGATCCACTCAGCAGCGGCGCTGCCGTAAAGCGTCGCTCCCTGTTTTTTGGATTCCCCAGGCAGGAGGGTCACACTCCTTACCCTGTCTCCCTGTGTCTCTGTGTCTCTCTGTCTCCCTGTGTCTCTCTGTCTCCCTGTGTCTCCCTGTCTCTCTGTGTCTCTCTGTCTCCCTGTGTCTCTCTGTCTCCCTGTGTCTCCCTGTCTCCCTGTGTCTCTCTGTCTCCCTGTGTCTCTCTGTCTCCCTGTGTCTCTCTGTCTCCCTGTGTCTCCCTGTCTCTCTGTGTCTCTCTGTCTCCCTGTGTCTCTCTGTCTCCCTGTGTCTCCCTGTCTCCCTGTGTCTCTCTGTCTCCCTGTGTCTCTCTGTCTCCCTGTGTCTCTCTGTCTCCCTGTGTCTCTCTGTCTCCCTGTGTCTCTCTGTCTCCCTGTGTCTCACTGTCTCCCTGTGTCTCTCTGTCTCCCTGTGTCTCTCTGTCTCCCTGTGTCTCTCTGTCTCCCTGTGTCTCTCTGTCTCCCTGTGTCTCTCTGTCTCCCTGTGTCTCTCTGTCTCCCTGTGTCTCTCTGTCTCCCTGTGTCTCTCTGTCTCCCTGTGTCTCTCTGTCTCCCTGTGTCTCTGTGTCTCCCTGTGTCTCTGTGTCTCTCTGTCTCCCTGTGTCTCTCTGTCTCCCTGTGTCTCTCTGTCTCCCTGTGTCTCTCTGTCTCCCTGTGTCTCTCTGTCTCCCTGTGTCTCTCTGTCTCCCTGTGTCTCTCTGTCTCCCTGTGTCTCTCTGTCTCCTGTGTCTCTCTGTCTCCCTGTGTCTCTCTGTCTCCCTGTGTCTCTCTGTCTCCCTGTGTCTCTCTGTCTCCCTGTGTCTCTCTGTCTCCCTGTGTCTCTCTGTCTCCCTGTGTCTCTGTGTCTCTCTGTCTCCCTGTGTCTCTCTGTCTCCCTGTGTCTCTCTGTCTCCCTGTGTCTCTCTGTCTCCCTGTGTCTCTCTGTCTCCCTGTGTCTCACTGTCTCCCTGTCTCCCTGTGTCTCTCTGTCTCCCTGTGTCTCTCTGTCTCCCTGTGTCTCTCTGTCTCCCTGTATCTCCCTGTGTCTCCCTATCTCCCTGTGTCTCTCTATCTCCCTGTGTCTCCCTGTGTCTCTGTGTCTCCCCGTGTCTCTCTGTCTCCCTGTGTCTCTCTGTCTCCCTGTGTCTCTCTGTCTCCCTGTGTCTCTCTGTCTCCCTGCGTCTCTCTGTCTCCCTGTATCTCCCTGTGTCTCTCTATCTCCCTGTGTCTCCCTGTCTCCCTGTGGCTCCCCGTGTCTCTCTGTCTCCCTGTGTCTCTCTGTCTCCCTGTGTCTCTCTGTCTCCCTGCGTCTCTCTGTCTCCCTGCGTCTCTCTGTCTCCCTGTGTCTCTGTCTCCCTGTGTCTCTATGTCTCCCTGTCTCCCTGTGTCTGTCTCCCTGTCTCCCTGTGTCTGTCTCCCTGTGTCTCTCTGTCTCCCTGTGTCTCTCTGTCTCCCTGTGTCTCTCTGTCTCTCTGTCTCCCTGTGTCTCTCTGTCTCCCTGTGTCTCTGTCTCCCTGTGTCTCTCTGTCTCTGTGTCTCCCTGTGTCTCTCTGTCTCTCTGTCTCCCTGTGTCTCTCTGTCTCCCTGTGTCTCTCTGTCTCCCTGTGTCTCTCTGTCTCCCTGTGTCTCTCTGTCTCTCTGTCTCCCTGTGTCTCTATGTCTCCCTGTGTCTCTCTGTCTCCCTGTGTCTCTCTGTCTCCATGTGTCTCCCCGTGTCTCTCTGTCTCCCTGTGTCTCTCTGTCTCCCTGTGTCTCTCTGTCTCCCTGTGTCTCTCTGTCTCCCTGTGTCTCTCTATCTCCCTGTGTCTCTCTGTCTCCCTGTCTCCCTGTGTCTCTCTGTCTTCCTGTGTCTCCCTGTGTCTCTCTGTCTCCCTGTGTCTTTCTGTCTCCCTGTGTCTCTCTGTCTCCCTGTGTCTCTCTGTGTCTCTCTGTCCCCCTGTGTCTCTCTGTCTCCCTGTGTCTCTCTGTCTCCCTGTGTCTCTCTCTCCCTGTGTCTCTCTGTCTCCCTGTGTCTCTCTATCTCCCTGTGTCTCTCTGTCTCAATGTGTCTCTCTGTCTCCCTGTGTCTCTCTGTCTCCCTGTGTCTCTGTCTCCCTGTGTCTCTCTGTGTCTCTCTATCTCCCTGTGTCTCCCTGTGTCTCTCTGTCTCCATGTGTCTCTCTGTCTCCCTGTCTCCCTGCGTCTCTCTGTCTCCCTGTGTCTCCCTGTGTCTCTCTGTCTCCCTGTGTCTCTCTGTCTCCCTGTATCTACCTGTGTCTCTCTGTCTCCCTGTGTCTCCCTGTGTCTCTCTGTCTCCCTGTGTCTCTCTGTCTCCCTGTATCTACCTGTCTCCCTGTGTCTCTCTGTCTCTCTGTGTCTCCCTGTGTCTCTCTGTCTCCATGTGTCTCTCTGTCTCCCTGCGTCTCTCTGTCTCCCTGTGTCTCCCTGTGTCTCTCTGTCTCCCTGTGTCTCTCTGTCTCCCTGTATCTACCTGTGTCTCTCTGTCTCCCTGTGTCTCCCTGTGTCTCTCTGTCTCCCTGTGTCTCTCTGTCTCCCTGTATCTACCTGTCTCCCTGTGTCTCTCTGTCTCCCTGTGTCTCTCTGTCTCCCTGTGTCTCCCTCCTGCCTCTCAAGAGTCTCCCCTGCGTATCGCTGAGAGTAAGGGTTTATGCACAGGGCTCAGTGACCAATTGGATATTTTCCGTAGCTCAGCCCCAGACAGCTCCGGCTGGAATGAAGCCCCAGATATGAAACACCTTGAGAGTCCGAACTGCCTAACGTGTCATCGATTTGGGCAGCAGGAGGCAGTGCAATCCATCGTCTTGTACAGCACTAATGTATCCCGCCTTCAGCCCGCTCTCACGAGCGTGGTGAAGTATGGCCAACAGTCGCGCAGCGTGTGGAGAAGAGCCTCATCCAGCAGTGGAATAACGACCAGTGATGTACAATGTGCCCGTGGCGTCGTGTGAGCCTCTCCAGCCACTGGGGGCCGCTATATTCAGTCGCCTTTAACCCAAGAAAATCGGCTCTTCTGTTTCAGTTTTCAGTTTCATTGATTAGGTATAACCCTGTGAGCCATGTGCCTCTTGACTCGGGTGCAACCGCAACAAAACAAAAACATGAACAAGAAACATCTTCAAGTGACTACAGGCAACAGAAAAATCCTGGGAAAAACAGCAAAGTCCTCTTGCGACTCTTGATCAAGAATCGCGACAATTCATTGATTTTGCGTGGGGGGAGCAAACCCCCCACACCGTATCACAGGAGCCTCCTTTAGATTCGAAGTTACCGTGACTGCAAGGATCCATACTCTTTGGTTTTTTCGGTCTAGTCACGTAGGTGAAAACATAAAACAAATTAAATTAAATCACGACGTTTCGGAGGCAACACAGACGGGATCTTGTGTTGCCTCCGAAACGTCGTGATTATAGTCGCCTCCTTGCCACTCTCACGTCGCCACTCGCGGGGTCAGGGCTTCCCGTGACCTTCGCTCGCCGTTTCCTGCACCCCCGTCGATGAGTCTCTGGTCTCCTCCCGGCGTGGTCCCGGCCACAGCCACCTTTCCGCAGGTCACTTCGCCGTCTCTTGGTGGGTCGTCGTCGTTGTTGTTGTGCGTGTACCCGGTGCCATTCGCAAACATCAGCACTGTCGCGCCGGCGGCCACGGTGGCTATGAGATGTTATATTATCTCGCCTGGTACGCAGGAGGTCCCGATCCCATATCTGCCAACCCCTTATCGGTGCCTCCCATATTACAGAACAATTCGGACCTTATTGGTCACCCCGTGCCCTTACAAATCTCAACGTTCATCTTACAAAATCCCATCACAAATTGACAAAAAAAAAACACGTTCCTTCGGAGTGGGCAGGTAGGAACTTGGTTGGATAGCGCATTCGTGCACGACAGACAAATATGCACGACAGACAAATAATCCCTGGTGGGCACTGTGGAACCTGTTGTTCCTACCTGTATAATTGCCCTATTGAAACGGCTATACGCCGTATGGGGCCGTCCATAAATGACGTCACGTGATTTTGGACGATTTTTGACCCCCCCCCCCCTTGTCACACGTCGTCACAAAGTCAGACCCCCCCCTCAAATATGACGTCACAAAGCTCTGCACCCCCCTCCACCAAAACCATATTTCCATTTTGAAAATAAACCATGCTTTAAATCGCTTTAAACTATTGTCATTGTAGTGCGTATTAAATGTGGCGCAGCACTCTGATGTAGAAAACATTTATTAAAAAGTCTATTTAATTAAGTAGAACGTGTTGTCTATATCACGCATCGTCACAAACGTCTGACCCCCCCCCCCCACCCCCTAGGTGCGTGACGTCATTTATCGACGGCCCCTAAGGACCTCAAAACTCAATTTCCCTGCACAAGAATACAGATAAACTGTTTTATTCACAGGTATGTGATCTTGACGCCCGCTGTATATTTGGAGTTTGCGTGCCTCTCCCCGTGGTCACGTGGATTTTTCGCCGGATCCTCTGGTTTTCTCTCCACATTTATAATACTGGTAGGAACCTCCTGGTTACACCAGCCCACATGGGATTATTGTGTCCGTCCGTCCGTCGTGCAGGGAGGGGCTGGGTGGGGAGGGTGGGGAGGGGCTGGGTGGGGAGGGGCTGGATGGTGGGTGGGGCTGGGTGGGGAGGGGCTGGTCACCCCGTGGTGCCCTTATACAACTCAACGTTTAACCTACTCACGCCGGCTTGTGCCCGCCCTCACAGTCGGGCATATTTGCGGAATACACCACGCCGCCGTTGACCCTGGCCATTGACCGAGCAACCCAACGTTCCTACCAGCTCCCTCCGCAGGAATGTGTTTAATCAAGGTGTGTTCAGAGTATTTGCCTGCTATCCAGTTCCACGTGACAAGCGACTTTGTTGGGCTATCATTTGTGGCAAGGTCGCTGCTGAAAAAGCTTTTTTACTCGGCATTATCTGGTAAAATAAAAAAAAACATGCTTATAATTTAATAGGTGCTGTCGAACAACATTTGCCCCAACAGCCTCTGTAGGCTTTACCTATGTGTGCAAAATGTGTATTGAGTTAACTCCTTATTACAGCCCTGATGGTGCTGTTTGTTGCTGGTCGCTTGACGTTATAAAAAGCATGGATCTAAATTTGAACAATTAGTTCCTGACTGTACTCGCAAAGCCCGAGAAAGGAGAAAACAGCAATTGTCGCCCCCTCGTGTGCAAACTTGGAAGGGACCTCCTGCAAGAGTTGGAAGGATTTTCCCAGGTGAACAAAATGTAAAATCTTTCACCCAACAAATTAGCTTTTATTGCGTAAGTCTCGAATCGCACCACCACCCCAGAGGTCACACCTCCGTTAAATCCCGTCAAGTATAAACATCTACATCGGCGCAAACCAACGTTACCCGAGGCAGGAGAAGAAACGAGTGTGTCTGCAAAAGCCAGCGGACAAGAAGCAGTTCCTCATCATCGAATGCGCCCCGAGCAGGTCCACGGTAGTGCGGCCCTGGCCACTGTCCCTTCAGACCTTCACCAGCTGAGATCGTTCATCCCCACCAGGGTTTAGGAAGGCATGCAAATTCACAGCATGTCCAGGTCAAGCCTTGGACAGCCGGAGAATTGGAAATGTGTTTGGATGTCAATAATGAACGAGGCCAGACGCGCCCAGTTCAAACTGCAGTCTTCATCCAGCGAAGCCACGACACTCGGCAACCTGTGGCTCTGGAGCCGCATGCGGGTTTTTTTAAGGATTGTTTCCTGACGTTCTTTATTAAGGATCGTCTCATAATCACGTGCTCTTGATATATTGAGGGTAGGTAAAAATAAAATAATAAAAATTAAATCACGACATTTCGGAGGCAACACAAGCTTCCGTCATCAGGTGGGACAACCACAGCAAAAAAATAACTGAATGACTGCCCACGACAGTAATTCTGGGTTTTGTTGTTGCTGTGGTTGTCCCACCTGATGACGGACGCTTGTGTTGCCTCCGAAACGTTGTGATTTAATTTAGTTATTTTTATTTTCATTTTCATTTCCACCTACGTGACTTTACCGAAAGAACCAAAGAGTATGGATCCTTGCAGTCATGAAAACTTCAAATCTAGAATATTGAGGGTGTTTTTTTTTCCAAATTCGAAAAAAATGGCTATTGTTTTGGTTTCCGACCGCTTGACCTCGGGGCTGACTGAGCGATTGTTGGGGCTTGGCAGTGCCGCCGATCTAACAGCAGCTGGCACGCACCGTGCCCTACCACAACGCTACAATCGCTAAACCCTTTTGCCGAATCTTGATTTCAAAGATAAATGTAATTTAAGAAAAATGTACAAAGCAGTACGATTTGCTTCGATAACCAGTCCGCAGTAAATTGGTTTAAAGATCGGTAGCCTCACGCTGAAATGGGTTAGGTCGGCAGGTTTGCTGTGGCTTTTCAACATGGATGTGGTGACCCGGGACTCAATGTGCTGCGTTTAAGGATTCGTGGGGAGCCCTGACCGGCTTCATGAGGAAATCACACACACGGTGGCATGCACGTGAATACAGGGGCCAGGAGCGGCATCAGGCAAAAATTCTGCAGTTCCAAAGACTGCTTAATAACATGACACAGTGGCTAGGAGGCAGTTTGCAAGGTAGTGTTTGAAAGTATTTTGTGCGTGTGTGCAGTGCGAGTCTGTGTGTATGGTTTTGTAAGACCGTGACATTGGGATTGTGTGAGTGTATAACAGTGTGATCGTGGCGAAGTGTGGGAGTACCTCGGTGCGATTGTGGTGAGCGTGCGAGTCCGTCAGTGACAGCCCGGTGAGAGCGTGGGAGTGTGTGAGCACGTGGGACTGTGGTAAGCCTGTAGCGCGATGGCGAGTGCGAGCTGTGTAGGCGTTAAGGTCGTGAAGCCGCCCCCGCACGTCCGCGTGCGTCACTGCCGGGCGGTCCCTCTGAGCAGCGCTTTGAGCAGCGCCGGGTAGTTGGGGGTCCCCCAGCCCGTGACCGGGTCCCACCCTGGCGTGGCACAGAAGCCCACCAGCTGGCTCTGCTCGTCCAGGCAGCCCAGGTGGCACCCAGACATTACCTGCACAGGCAAGATCGCACCACAAGCACCGCGCTCACGTATCGGCGGTGTGGCTCAAACGAACGAATGCAGAGGCGTTCGGGGTCGTGCTGCCATGCGGTTCGCTGCCGTGTGGCTCTCTGCAGATGCGTGTTGTTTGGGTTGTGACCAGCTTAGCGCGCTGCGCTACAAACCCAGCAACCGAGTTCGATTCCCGCTCACGGCCAACACCAGTGACGATTATCTGAACATGTCATGGCCCTTCCCTAGGTCGACACTCAGCCTCAAATGAGTACTTGGTGTGGTGTGTAAACATCACCACTGGGGCGACAAACGCAGCCAGGCGTGGTGTTGGCCAATCACCCCCTTCGTGTGCAGTGCCGGCCTTCATATAACAGTCTGTTAAGGCTATACGGGGAGGTCTTTGCCCAGCATGTCATTCCGCTGATGTCCGACCTTTGGCCCCACGTTCTGGGCGCCGCTTTGGAAACCAAAGCGAATTGTCGTCATAGCGAACGACGCGCGGTACAACGGGAAAACACAAAGGGAGACCGGCTGAGCGAACGCGTGGGGGGCCCTGGCGGGAGGGGGGCAGGGCAGGAGGGCGAAGGGATGAGTGGCACTCACGTCGTAAATGGCGGTGTTTGGCCCCCGGCCGTTGCCCAGTGCATACAGGAGGGGGTTGAGGAAGCCGAGCGCTGGGAGGCCATGCTGGAGGCGGTGGTCGTTTACCAGCGCCACGATCCCGCCAAACACGGGCGTCGAGGCCTGCGGGCGCAGACAGCGGGCAAGAACGCTGAACAACTGGAGCGAGGAAGCGTGCTCATCCATAGAGTCAGTGGAGGGGGTTTCTTACAGCAGGGGATTCTGGGTAGAATGCTAGAGGCCAGAGAGGGTACCAAGAGTGCCTTTGACCAAATCATCTGGCACACACCCAGGGTAGTGCCTGGATAGTGCTCAGACAGGTGACCACACACTCTACTCGTCATATTGTTATCGACAACAGACTTGCAGGGATAGCGGTGGGCAGAAGGGCAGTAGAACAGGATAGCAAAATCCACTGCTGGACTTACTATGCTCCGAGATCTATAATCCCCATCTTCAACCCGCACGACCACATTTTCCAACACAGCTCTGATTTAGCAATCTTTGGAGAACGTAATCAACCAGGCTATGCGTTAACTGTGTGTTACCCGACTCTCCGCGTTGCATTGCATTGCATTACATTTACAAAAATTTGCTAAGTTTGTTCTCTCAATACCAGACTTGCTGGGTCTTTCTCTCCCCCTGCCGCCGCGGGGTGGATTTCCACACAGCTCTCTCATTGACATGCTAATTTCTCTACTCCAGCAGACCACCTCTCTCTCTGCCCCCCCCACCCCTCACTCTCTATTTAAGGCCACGACACAGAGGCATTGGGTCTCTGTGTGTCTATGTTGTGTCTCTCTCTATGTGTCTCTGTGTTGTCTCTCTCTGCTTGTGTGTCTGTCTGTGTGTCTCCGTGTCTGTGTTTTGTCTCTCTCTCAAATGTAGTTCTTCCTGATGGCGACTGCTTGTGTTGCAATCGAAACGTCTCATTCTATTTAATTTATTTTCTTTCTACGTGACTTTACCAAAAGAACCAAAGAGTAAGTGTAGTAAAGTTTAGTTTATTTTGTTTTAACCAGGTGAGAACTGAAGAGACTAAGAGAGTCTCATTTACAACCAAAATAAAATGAGAAAGAAAAATAAATTGAGCATCATCATCGTCCAGCGGTGAGTGTGGTCCCGCAGTCACAGAACCCCCACATCCCCAGCCCCCCCCAGCCCCCCGCAGCCCCCCGCTCGTGTCCCCGCAGCATCTCACCGATGTGCCGGACACCCAGGGGATGGGCACCAGGTTGGCGACCACCCAGTAGTTGCTGGAGAGTGCCGCCACGTCCGGGTAGGCGCGCCCACTCGTGTTGTAGTAGGACGCCGGCGGCAGGGGCTTCGTGTTCGCCAGGTAGCGCTTCACGGCGACCTCCTGCCATGCGCACACACAGAGGCAAAGATCCCCCGTGTAGCCTTCACAGACTGTTGAAGCAAGTGCTGTTAGCGAGCACCTATGAAAGCCAGCACGGCACGCGAGGGGGTGGGTGGCCAGCACCACGCCCGGCCGCCTTTGTCTCCCCCGTGGCGATGTTTACAGATTGCATCAGGTACTCATTTGAGGCTGAGTCGACCTAGGGGAGGCCCAGAACCGGTTCAGATAATCGTCACCGGTGTTGGCTGTGAGCGCGAATTGAACTCGGGTGGCGATGTTCGTAGCGCGGGGCGCTAACCGCCACACGACTGTGCTCCCCACGCGAGTCGGACGGAGGCAGTGAATAGAATCACCTGGTAGGGCGGCCGTGCAAAGACGTTGCTGAAGCCACCGCCGCTGATGTAGTCCGAGACCTCCTCCGTGACCTTGAAGGGGTCCTTAAAGGAGGTGCCCCCCACTGTGGTGACGTACGGACTGTAGAGCCACGTGGACAACGCACACACGCACTCATCATCATCCGCACAACACACTACATCCACCACTTATCACCACTCACCCTCGACCATGTCTGTGTGGCAGGTCGTTATGATAATAATGACAACTTCTACAGCGCTGTAACTTGCCAATTCAAGGATATGCTGAAAGGGTTTTGGTAATAAATCCACACACATGGGGTGCCGGAAAACCCCCAAAACACACATCACACGAGCATAGGTAACAGAGCTGAAGATACTTCACTCGAAACAGCGGTACCATCGGCTTCGCGTTCATAAGTGTGGATCATTCGGTTTTCAAAAGATTTAAACTCTCGGCGCAATAATTCCCAAACGTCCTCTCTGAAGCAAACTGGACTCGCAGGGGACAGACGATCGCGCGCGAGGTGCACCTGGAGGCTGGGAAGCTGGGCCGGAAGGTGTCCACATCCTTGGAAACCTCTCGGCAGCCGGCGCCTGAATCTCCTGTAATGCAGCGGCATGCCCACGGGGTCACGGACACGTGGGCTCGCAGACAAAGACCTCCTATATAGCCTTTACAGGCTGTTGGGGCAAGTGCTGTTAGCAAGCACCTTTTAAGGCCAGTATTGGTGTGGCCGGAACCACGCTCAGCTGCCTTTGTCTCCCCAATACTGATGTTTACATATCGGAGCAGGTACAGTACTCATTTAAGACTGAGTAGATCTAGGGGAGGCGGAGAATCCGTTCAGATATTTTGTTCGTCACCTACGTTGGCCACGATCAGGAATCGAACTTAGGTCACGGGGTTTGGAGTGCGGTAACCACAATTCGCCACTAAGTGGCGGTGACGTCACCACGGCAATTGTGCCAGGCTAGGAGCACTTTGAGGCCATGTGAAGTGTCAAAGACTAGCTGACAGAATGTCACGAGACAGACCCAGGTGCCATGGGTTGACTGAGATGACTGGCAGATGCACCAACTGTTCCCTCTCTCCTGTGTCAACTTGCTGAATTTTAGCCGTCCGGTGCTCTGCTCATTGTTGCAAGCATCGCTCCTCTGCCCTCCAGCTGTCTAGTAGCATCCTTCATGAGCCTCCTCCATAGAGGCTGATCTTGACACCGCTCGTGCCAGTCTTTGGCAAGTCAACTCAGGTCAACATCCTCCCATACCGTATCAGTCCACCTCTTTTCCAGCCCATGTCGTGTGCATTTAGCCCCCTCTATCCGGCCAAACAGAAGCTGCTTGGGCATGCGATGGCTGGGCATGTGGACTACATGACCCAGCCAATGCAGCCTTGTCTGCTCGAGGAGCTCACTGATGGGAATGTGTCCAGATCTTTCAAGGATTTGTGAGCTCCTCACACAATCCAGCCTGGTTAAACCCAGGATGGATTGTGTGAGGCCAGCCTGAATGTTAATAACCGGCACAGATGTTCTATCAGAGGGGTCCACGTTTCACAAGCATAGAGAAGAGAGGGCATGACTGTGGCTGAGAAGACAAAGCTTTGTGTGTAGCTTCCACACATGGGGTCACACACAGACGGGGTCATACACACAGACACAGATGGGGTCATTCACACGGTGTACCTCACACAGAGTCACATGCACGCATGGTGGCGGCGGGAATGCTAACCGCCCCCGACCACCCCCTCCCTACAACGCTTACCGGACGCGAAGAGGACGGAGATGCCACGCGCGCCGGCCTTGGCGAGCTCGTTGGACACGCGCGTCATGTACGCGCGAGACAGGCTGTCCTCGTCGTCGCCGTAGCTCACCGTGTGCACCCACGGCACGGACGACGTGTTGCTCAGCGCCAACAGCCACTGCAGGAACGGCTCCTGCGTCTCGCGCCGGCCTGCGGAGATGGCTCATTCTCCACTCGCCGCCCCCGCTCGCTCACTAACCAGCTCAGCCCCATACCCTCCTCTATTTTTATTTTGTCTTTTCCCCAAATATTTATCCCGATCGTGCTCTCGGCGTAACGACACAAGATGGAGAACCCACGACGGAATTGTCCGGAGAAGCACAGACTCCAGAGCTCGTTCTGAGATCCCTTCAAGTGACCTCTGATTCACACAGCAAGGGGCAGCTCTACCCTGCCACACGAGAGTAATACATTCACGTGATGCAGTCATTGGTGACCAGGCTGAGATCATGCATGTGGTTTAATCTCAAGCGGCTACCTGGATTCAAACCCAGGGTCTCAGTGCCGAAACCTCAGCGCCACCCATCCACCTCCCAAAATGCTCTACTATTGAAAGTAGGTATGAGAATAGGAAATGCTACCATCACATTATACCGCGTCACTACACCGTAACATATCGCACAAGCAAGCACAGACCGCAACTGTGACTGCTAGGGTACCTGGAGTGCTCCAGAACCAGGTGGAGATGTTGGCACCCAGACTCATGATGTACTCGATGTCCAGGCTGGCCTCCAGGCCGGCGCGGAAGCCTTGGTCGGGCCCCACCACCCGGCTCACCCGGCTCTGGTGTGGGAAGCCCTTCCCAAACAGAGCCATGAACTCCGACAGGTCCGACGCGTGGAAGTACTGATCCAGGAACTGCGCCGAAGGGGATGGGTGGGATGAGAGGTTGCGTGGCTGCTGCAGGGGACCACACTCAGCTGCGCGAACTCAACTGTCAGTCAGCCAAGCGGAAACTTCCATCGCTGCAGAACCGAGCCCCTAGCACTGCCGCCCCCCCCCCCCCCGCAGATTTTAAACCAATCACAGACCAGATTTTCGTCCAACCAAAAAGCTTCGTTTGGTTTCAGTTGATCTCATATTCATGCATGGTTCCTGAAGTTTGTGTGTGGAGTTAACATGTTAGGGGTCAGGAGGTATGGTTTAGGGTTCGAGATGGGGTCTGGAATGTATGGTTAGGGTTATTGCTTATGGTCTGGGGTTAAGATATAAGGTTAGAGAGAGGGTTCAGGGTTAGGTTCAGGGTTAGAAGTTAGGTTTCGGGATTAGGGTTAGGGATAATGGTTTGAGATTAGGCTAATGGTATAGGATGAGGGGTTAGAGTTAGACTTTATGTATAGGGTTTCATGTTTGGGGTGAGGCATTAGGGTTAGAGTCTAGAATTGGAGTCAGGGTTATGGTTTAGGAGTTAGGATGTAGGGTTAGCGGTTATAGCTAGGATTTAGTGGTTCGGGATTGGGGCTTACGGTAAGACTATCATTCGGAGTTTGGATTTACGTTTTGAGATTCGCGTGGGGGAACAGTTGTACGTGAGACCGCATTCCTTTCCGCAATAGGTGGGGAGACGGTGGTGTCTGCCCGTGAGTCGAGTGGTGTGTGCGCGCCGCTCGCACCTGCGCCACCGCCTGGCTGTTGTTGGGGTGGGAGCCGACGTCGGCGGCGCTCAGGTTGTAGCGCTGCCGCAGGACGCTGGGGTTCACGCCCAGGTGGAACGACACGTTGGGGGCAGCCCCGCCGTGCAGGGGTGGGATCCGCACGCCGCGGGGGTGCCACGACGGGAAACGGTGGACCCCCCCAACTGATGCGCGCATGCACATGCGCACACACACACGCACACACATGTAGGCACACACACACGCAAACACACACACGCAAAAACGCGTACGATGCTGTTAACATGCGGTCAGCATGAGTCTATCCACAAGCGTTCTATCGAAACCATAAATGATCAAAGCGATGTCCTACTCACTAACCGTGGAAGTGGTGCTCATCTGTTTACAGCCCTAAACTGGTGGTGTAAATTCCATATTCCTACGGCAGAGGCGAGTCTAATCATAGGAAATAAGCATTGGTCGACAAATCACCAAGCCGATTCTTAACTATAAAATATTCACAATAAACCCCGCCGTGCGGGCAAAGTAAAACTTTGAGTTTCAATTGGGAAAGAGAGTGAGAGGGGTGGGAAGGGAAGCCGAAACCTCGGCTGATGTGATGAGTTCTAAAATAATCCGTTTCCAAAGCAGGTAATTATAGCCAATCTAACCTGGGATGTATGTCGCTGACAACAATAAAATGTTAAATCAGGCATTGAGGGGAAAGTTAGTTAAACGAGGTTATAAAAGCACGTTTTCTGAGCAAAGCTTAGCGAACTCCAAATCACTGGCGAAACAAACTCTGAACGCAGCTAAATGTGCGTTGTGACTCCAGTGAAGGATGTGGAAGTCAGATGGTATCGGTAAAGCGGTAGACGTTACCGGCGTGGGGTTTCACTTCAGCAAAGTTCCTCTCGTGTTTTTGTGGGTGGGTGAATCGCGACGTCGGCGGCTCATACCGAAATCGAGGCAAGCGGCGAGCGACGTGGGCAGCGTGTAGGCGGAGAGGGAGCGCACCACCGTGTGCCCGTCGTCGCGCTCAAACCGCTGGAAGCGCGTTCCCGGGAGCACGCGGTGTGCCACCCTGCAAGCAGCCACAACACGTGGTGCCGAACACTCGGCTAATCATCACCTCCACACGGAGCGCTCCCCTCCACCGCCATCGCGGAGAGGAAACCTCCCATCACAGGCACGCAGCCCTGTCGCCACAGGCGAGCGAGCCGGGAAGATCGTGGTCAACCCTGGCTGGGCCTCGCCAAGTCAACAATCGTTGTGGGCCTCTGCCCAGGCAGACAAATGGCACCGTGCTGGCAGAGATGGGCAGGATCTACTTTAAAAGCAATGTAAATATGTAATGTCATTACAATTGTAATATGTGGTTCATGATGAAAAATAAGAATACGCTTTATCCTTTCTGGCAATAATTGCCAATAATTGTAAAGCGTATTTCTATTTTTTCATAATTTTGATACTGGCAAAAAGGGCACATCGATATGTGGTTGGTATTTAAATTACACACCAAGTACTTGCAATTTTTACCCAAATTACACAAGACATGGTTAATTTCCTAAATTTCTAAATTGTTTGTATTTTGCCCTACCCTGCGTGTGGGTTCTGGTTGATGGTGGGAACTCGGCCTATATTATGTCCAGGGGGGCAGGGTCACAGGTGGAATAGGTGGCACGTGATTGGTAGTAGCCACAGAGAGGTATAACTTTCATTTTTATTTATCCACTTGTAGTACTTTGTATTTTTTGCACTGGTTGCACCAGGTTGATGCACGACATTTCCATTAGGAGCTTGACCATGTACAGTTGTTCTTAGTTCTAGATTTGAAGCTTTCGTGACTGCAAGGATTCATATTCTTAGGTTTTTTCGGTAAAGTCACGTAGGTTTTTTGCGATAACTAGGTTTCAGTTGTGTAACCAGGTTCCCATTGAAAAATGGACATTCATTGCCAAATAGGTTTTACCTGTGGCATTAATAAACCAGTAAACCAAACCAATACTGGATGGGGTGTGCTGGGGGTGGAAATATTTTCTGGATCGCTGCAAGCCCAGACAGACTGGGTTTCAATGAAACGTTGATTGTAGGTGGTTCTGAGGGTACTGGAGGTTGTAGAGGAGGTGGTATGTGAGTATGTACGTTGAACTTCTTTTGCACCGTACGTAGCCAACTGTGCTAATCTGAGGTGTGGTAGCTGTGAAGAGTGGAGGTGGTTGTAGATTTGGTGGTGGCCATCGCGGCTAAACTGAAGCTGTGCCGGGCGGGTCGCTTACCGAGCCGACATGGAGCACAGAAGGAAGTCGTGCGTGAGCACCGAGTTACACTGGGTCACCCCGTGCACCGCCAGCCAGCTCCGCACGGTGCGCTCCGTCTCCTCGCTCGGACGTACCAGCTCCCCCACCTCGTCCAGCGACAGGTGACGGCCTGCGCCACACACAGGTTAACGGTGCGGAGTCATCGTCATGGCCACATCTGCTAAAGAGGTGGCGTCTGCGGAAACTCTTTAGCAGAGGCTGACACTCACCCAGGTGAGTGCGGCGGGGTGAGAGAGAGTTTGGCAGCGAGTGTGCGATTTGTGAGTATGTGTATGTGAGTATGTAAACAAATGTGTAAGCGAGCGAGAGCACGCGAGTGTATGAGCAAGTGAGCACGTGTGTGTGCGGGAGCAGTCGTGCAGCGGTTAGCGCATTGCGCAACAAATCCAGCGACACAAGTTTGATTCACACTAACGGTCAACACAAGTGCAGATCATTTGAATCAATCCTGGGCCCCCCATAGGTTGACTGGGCCTCAAATCAGTACCCGGTGCGACATGTAAACATCGCCACGATGGAGACAAAGGCGGCCGGGCGTGGTACTGGCCATGCCGGCCTTCATAGTTGCTCGCTACCAGCACTTGCCCCAACAGTGTTAAAGGCTATACGGGGGATCTTTGTCACCATAGTTCTCCGAGGTCGGGTCAGACACGCGATCCACCACAGCGAGAAGAGCCTCCACGTTCTGCTGCTTCAGTGCAAAGGTCAACTCCACCTCCGAGTCGGGGGCCACATCGCCCAGGGGATGCCACCCATCTGGGGCCCTGCATGTGTGCACACACGTACACCACGGGTCACCAACATCATCACATCTACCACCACCACCACCACAAACATCAAAACCATAAGGGACTGCCCCGCTGCATGGACACTGTGTGTGTACACAGATGCCACGGACTACCACCACCACCAATGGCGGAGCCAGGATTTTCAGGTGGGGGGGCAACCCCTCCAGCAATGAAAACTGATAGAGGAGTTGTTAGTAAGTAAGGACATGTCCCTTGATTTTAATTCGACGCGTGTGCGGCGATGGCGCAGCCATTGATCAAGGGTCGAATTCGAACAGCGTGTGATCGGCATCGCGCTCGCTTAAGGTGAATGCCTTCAGGGAAGTCGTGTACTGTATACGCAACTGCGCACAATTCTGTGAGTCACTTATAACTGCTTTGCCGCTACTTATTGCCAATTATGGACTATTGTCCTATCATCTCATAGAGTCCCTGGCATGTAATAATATGCTACACAGTGGCAGTGGGGGTTGCAAAATGCCGATTTATCTCTATGTATATATAAAAGGGAAATTTGTGATTATGTGTGTCTGTTAAAAATGTTTAGCGTACTTCTCGACATGCAAGAAACTTGAAATTTGCCATGTGGGTACTTTCCAGACTGTACACCTTGCAAAAATTATGAAAAAACATCTGTCATGTGACCCGCGCATGTGGAAGAGTAACACAGTGTGCCTGCTCATGTCACTCCCCCCCCAACCCTCCGCGGCGCGAGTAAAGTGCCAAACAAATGTGTTGCAGGTCTAAGGCGTTCTTCGCGCAGCGTTGCTGCTTTATTATTTCAGTCGTTTACTGCCGTACGCACCCTGAAAGTTGCGTGTGTCTGCAGCAAGCGCGTGTATGTGTACCTATGGACGCGGACGTGCGCGCGTGTGTGTGTGTGGGGAGCGGTAGTGTAGCGGCTAGCGCGCTGCGCTACGAACCCGGCGACCTGGATTCTATTCCCGCTCACGGCCACCACCGGTGACAATTATTTTAACTGGTCCTGGGCCTCCCCTAGGTCGACTCAGCCTCAAACGAGTAACTGGTGTGGTGTGTGAACATCGCCACTGGGGAGACAAAGGCGGCCGGGCGTGGTTAATCCAAGCCCCGGGCAAAGCCGGGTAGTAAAGCTAGTTACTAATAAACTCCAATGATCCGATCGAAATTAGTGATTTTGATCAGATCATTGGGGGGGGCATGTGCCACCAAACCCCCCCTACTGGCTCTGCCAGTGACCACCACCACCATGATCACGACCAGCACAAATCTCACCATCGTCACCACAATAATCATCAGACCATAAACGACACCACTCTCAACTATCGATATTATTTTAACCATCAGTGCAATCATGTGAACTATCATCACCACCACCGTCACGATCATCACACGACCACTACCATCAGCACAATAATCACTCCGTCACTGCTAGTGGGCGCTGCTGTGGCTCTTCGCGTTAGGGCAGAGAGGGGGAAGGGTGGGGGGGAAGGGTGGGGGGGATGGGGTGCGGACGACCGGGAGGGGTGGGGGGGTAAAGAGGAGGAGTGGTTTGGGGGAGAGGGGGTGGAAGAGGATGGGGCGATAATGTCGGGAGGGGATAGGGGTATGGGGGGGATGGGGGTAGGGGAGGGATGGGGGGGATGGGGGGTTAGGGGCAATAGGATAGGAGGTGAGGGGGATAGTGGGTGAGGGGGGGGGATAGGTGAGGGGGATAGGAGGTGAGGGGGGGGATAGGAGGTGAGGGGGGGGGATCAGAGTGACAGGCGGCTAAAGTGCAGCAAGTTGGCACAGTAGGGGGTGCTACAGCTGGTGGTGCATCTACCGGTCATCTCAGCCAACCCATGGCACCTGGGGTCTGTCCCGAACCCGCCTGTCGGCGAGCCTTGGACACTTCACGTGGCTTCAAAGTGCACCTAGCCTGGCACGGGCGCTGTGGGGACGTCACTTAGTGGCGAATGGCGGGCATTGGAGGGGGTGGAATAGGGGGTGGGGGATGGGGGGGATGGGGTGTAGGAGGGATAGGGGCGGATGGGAGTGATGGGGGCGGATGCAGATGGGGGGGGGGGTGATGGAGGGGTGATGAGGGGGGAAGTGATGGGGGCGATAGGGGGTGGGGTAGTGTAGCAGTTAGCGCACAACGCAGCTGGAAATCCAAGTTTGATTCCCGCTCACGACCAACACCAGTGACGATTACCTGAATCAGTCCTGGTTCACCCCTAGGTCGACTCAGCCGCAATTTGTATTCTGTGCGTGGTGTTGGCCACCCACCCCCCTTCTCGGCCTTCAAAGGCGCTCGCTAACAGCACTTGCCCCAATAGTCTGTTAAGGCTATAAAGGGGGGGGGGGGGGGTACTTTGTCTTTGTTACCCGAGAGGCTGATCGGGCTCCAGCGGCAGCACGGAGCCCTGGCTGGTCCTCGCCTCCAGCAGCAGCGCCAGCAGCGAGAGGCAGACCAGGGGCCTGCGGCACGGGGCCACACGGGGCCACACGGGGAGCTGAGTGAGGTCAAGCCAAGGGAGTCGGTCACGAGCCACACGGGATATCGGAAACAAGGCGGGCAAGGCGATGTGTACAGCTCCGTGGACACGGAGACGAAACGAGAGACAAGGGGTCATGGTTAAGGACACAGCTAGGCCTCGGCAAGGTAAAAGTTAAAATGTAAAAAAAACAACGAGCCTACCTTTACCTTACCTTTTACCTTACCACAATACATTCACTCTACCCTACCTTTTACCCTTACCCCATACAAACTACCCGATTACAGGGTAATTACTGGGGTACTACTACACATGAACAAGGTTTATAACGATAAATGCTATAGGTAGAGCGCGTTATTCATATAGAATACTCTCGATGATTCCAATTTTACACGCTTTCTTTGAACTTACTCTGTACGTTGTTGTCGTTGTTGTATCCTCAAACCTTGTAACTCAATTTTAACCCACTTCCCAATGTGGTATCGACTGTAAACTTGGTATACGTATGTCTGATGACAACACTATATTCTGTAATAAACAATATGTTTTTACACGATCTTTTTTATGTTATGTTTCGGCTTGGGTCTAATTGTAATTGGCCACGGTCCCCTTACGTTATGGAAAGCTTCGGGGCCACTTCCTGGAGTAGTGGAGTTCTGCCAATACTCGTACATGTAATACAAGTGTGTGTTTAATTAAAAAAAAAATATTACTTATTAAATGGAGGCCACGGACTGCGCCACGGAGCTTTTAGCGGTAAACAAGGCACCGTATTTACCGGGTAACACTTCGCGCTACCTTTACCCTACCGGGTAATTCTTCCAAGCTACCTTTACCCTCCCCTTTACCTTACCCCTTGGCATGTCGACACCTTTACCTTTACCCTTTTACCCGGTAAAAAGGGTAAATTACCTTACCTTGCCGAGGCCTAGATACAGGGACACGGAGAGAGGCATTCAAGAGACATGTGGTGACACATGGGGTCACATGGGGTCACATGGGGACACGGGCACGCAGAGACATTGAGATACACGGGGACACACATGGGGACACATGGGGACACGGGCACGCAGAGACATTGAGATACACGGAGACACACATGGGGACACATGGGGACACGGGCACGCAGAGACATTGAGATACACGGAGACACACATGGAGACACACGGGGAAACACGGGGAAACACGGGGAGACGGGCTAGCAAGAGACGACAGCGAATTTAAGAATCAAGGGACTCTGCGACCCCGAGTGGATCGCCTTCTTCTTCTGCCCAGTCAGTGGCCCCTGACCCGGCCTACCTGGGCGCCCCCCGGCTCTGCGCGTTGCTCGTCGCGGTCCGCATGGGGGATGCTCTCTCCTCTGCTGCCCCGACCGCCGCCGTTGTCCTCAACGAGCTGCCAGCGGTCACGTGACGCGAGCCGTCAGCTGACCGCGGTGACGTCACGACTTCCGCGTCCGTGTTGACGTCGCGAGTTCCTGGACACGTGGACCCGGACCCCCCCAGCGGGAGCTCAGCGGCACCCACCCGGACCCCTCCGCTCAGCGCGATCGCCCTCGCCCATGGCGGACAGCACGGGCCAGGAGAAGACGTGGGACGCGTACGGGACCCCCTCTGCTCGGGTGAGGAGTAGTGGCAGGGTGGTGGGTAGGGGTGAGGAGTAGTGGCAGGGTGGTGGGTAGGGGTGAGGGTCGCAATGTTTTGCCCAGACCCATCTCTCAGGACTCGCCCCGTCCAAAACCGTGCGGCGATCCGGTCATTAAGCTCGACACACCAATGCCGGTTCAAACTTAATAGCTGCCACACGAACAGACGCCAGTGCCCGGACCGACCGGGTCAATCTCGGCAAAACCTGTGGCGCAATCACGCTCGTGAGCCCAGGGGTCTCATGCGACTCGGGGATGGGTGGGGGGGTAGAGGGGACCCTGAGTTCTTGCAATAATTCTGAGTCGTGTGTTCCCCCCCCTCCCTTGTTTGACCCCCACCCTCAGGAGGGGTCCCGGCCCGGCTCGTCGGCCGTTGTCGACATGGAGAACCTTGACAACGCATCTGGCTCCAGCTTCGAGGAGGTGGATGAGCCGGGGGGACCCGCGCGGGACCGTCGCGGGGGCGGCGGAGAGGACGAGGAGTTCCTGGGCATCTCGGGGCTCCACAGGGAGCTCGGGAAACAGGTGGTCGGACAGGTACAGCCGGCATCGACAGCCTGTCACGGGGCCCAGAGGCAGGAGCCGAACGAGCGTGGGGACAGGGGGTGCTTGCCCCCCCTGGTGGCAAAAGCTACAAATTGGGGCCCCCTTGACAAACCACGTTTTCAACAGCAGTGTAAAAGAACAAATATTTAAAACGCGATTTAATTGGAATTCTTATGAAAATGCTTAAGTTTACCTTCCACGTTTTATTAAATTCGAGCAATCGCGTTTCGCTTCCGCAAATCAAACATTTGGGCCCCCTCTGAACTGATGTCATTATGTCCCTTGGGCGAGAAGTTAACTCCCTCGCCTCGTACACAGGTCGTGAGTTCGATCCCCACCCTGATGCCTGTATATATGGAGTGTGCGTCTCTCTCCCAGTGGTCACGTGGACTTTTCTCCGGGGCCTCCAGTTTTTTTTCTCCACGTTGAGAATATGCGTTTAGAGTATTTGGCTGCGAAACATTTCCACATAAGCCACTTAATTGGGCAATTTTTTTGGCCAGTTCACTACTGAAAAGATATGTAGCTCAGTGGGCCTTATCTGGTAAAATATGGATCATAACAAAGTTCCGAGTTGGGACCGGGATCTGCGTTATAACGAAGTTCCACTTAAAACTTGAGGTATTGGTCAGGACTGGAGTCGAGTTAAGACTGGGGTCCGGGGTCGGCATGGGGGGCCCGAGCAGTGTCTGTTGCTGTGCCCTGCAGGTGTTGTCCGCGAGCTCGGAGCGCGCAACCAAGGCCTTCGCCTTCTACGCCAACATCGACTTGCTGCGGCCATACTTTGACGTGGATCCCGCGCAGGTGCGCGAACGCCTCTTCCAGTCGCTCATTCCCAAGCGCCAGATGAACCGGCCCCAGGTGTGTACACCCCGCGCACAGCAGCCCCTTCCCGTGCACTCGGGTCGCTAGGTTCCTAGCACAGTGTGCTAACCACTGCCGCTACGCCCCACAGGTGTGCATGATGCACGGGCACCTCGGTTATCGACTGATGGTTTAGGGTCCGTGCGTGTGTGTGGTTGCAGGGAGTGGAGAGGGAGTTGTACGGGCCACTGATGCTCGTCTTCACGCTGGTGGCCATCCTGCTGCAGGGCATGAAGACCTCGGGCACCATAATCGTGGGGCTCTGCAGGGGGCGCACCACTCGTACTGCTCACAGGCCACCTTCAATGCTAACTTGGTCTGGGCCTTATGTTCCCAGTAGCCGAGTTGTGAGCGAGGCCTAAGTGTGACCCCATGCGTGTGTTTGTGTGTATGCAGAGGGAGGGCACGCTGATGGGCACGGCCCTGGCCACATGCCTGGGGTACTGGCTGGGCGCCTCCGGGCTACTCTACCTTCTGGCCTACGTGACCGGAACACGCATCTCCATGAGTCAAACCCTGGCGCTCATTGTAATGGCCTCTATAGTACCACGATCATCACTGCAACCACTTACAGTCACCACCATCCCCACAACCACTGACATATTCACCACAGGCATAATGAAGATCCACTATAACCACTGTCAGTCACCACAGCTCCAGCCACCACAACTATGCCTACCACTCACCACCACCCTCCATTACCTAAACAACCATCCCTATAATCACCATCTGCTTCACAGCCGCCACCTCCAATAATACAACCTCCAATATACAATCATAATGACCACCACCCAAACTACACCCACCACACTTTTCACAGCTATCAACCTCCTCTCCAACGACCCACCACAACCACCCCCACAATCACCACCACCCCCTCCACAGCCATTACAAGCAGCACTTTTACAATCGCAAAGAGATCCAATGAAATTCAAACCACAAATTCTTCATGGCTACCTCCACGACAAACATTACCACCTCCAGACGTGCCATCACAACCACCCCTCCCCCCAACCCATTTATGTTCACAGGGCTACAGCCTCTTCAGCCACTGCGTTGTGCTGCTGGTCACGTATAACGTGCACGTGCACGCCCTCTTCTTCTCGCTCTGGATCGTCGTCGGGGGCCTCTCCGCCCTCCGCATGGCGAGTGCCGTACACCACACACTGAGCAAGCCTCATGTAGAGAGCACTCCGCATATATTCAGAGAACACACTGACATGTCCACAGTTGATGCCAACTCAGGGGTTTCACCATAGTGTTCACACGGTGAATAACATCCGTTATTGGCCCTTATAGCACATAACCTCTGTGGTTTAAGGCAGTGTTATTTACAAATGTAGAGTGTTTTGTTCTCCGTTCCAAGTGTAGCGTTTTGGTTTGGGCTCCATGCTGAGCATTTCTTCTCCTAAGCTTTTGCTACGCATGACTGCGGGCATCTTCAAAAGTTGAAATGAAGGTGCTAGCAGTATTGCATGGCCATAGAGACCACACTTTCAGTGGCTGCAGATTCCGAAATGTTAAATATTTCTGTCATGGTATTGTGGTGGCGAGGGTTATAATGTCGTGATGGTTTTATGGTGGTGGTTTCAGGTGATGGTGCTAGCATCGCGGGCTCCGGGCTATCGCCAGCGGATGGTACTGTGCGGGACACTCGCTTCACTGCACATGCTGTCTCTGCTGTACTTGCACTTCACGTATCATCGGGTGGTGGAAGGTACGCGGCTTATTGAACACACACAAATACCCACCCTCTATGTTTAGAACACTCAGACCAGTCACACCTGCAGTGCACATGCTCAGACCAACAAATATCCCTAGCCTACACAGGATGTTGGGGCAAGTGCTGTTAGTAAGCACCTATGAAAGCCAGTAAGGCACAAAGCAGTGGATGTCCAGCACCATGCCTGGCCACCTTTGTCTCCCCAGTGCTGATCTATACATACCACACTAGGTACTCATTTCAGGTTAAGTAAACCTAAGGGAACCCAGGACCGATTTAGATATTAGTCACCATTGTTTGCGGTGAGCAGGAATCAAACACAGGTCGCCGGGTTCGCAGAGCAGTATGCTAACCAATGCACAACCTCTCCCAACAACCGCCATTCGCCACCAAGTAGTGGTGTCATCGCCACGGTGCTTGTGTCAGGCCAAATGGACCTTGTGGCCACATGAACTGTTGAAGGCTCGCTGGAAGGTCATGGGACAGACCCAGATGCCATAGTTTGACTGAGATGACACACACTGACACGGTACATAAAATACACCCCTTTATCTAAATACACGCAGCACACACCCAGACCAACATACAGTAGTAGTAAGTCCTTGTTTAAAGCAGTAGATGCGTTCCTGAAACGTGCCGCATTAAGCGAAAATCTCGTTAAGCGAAAACAATTTCCCCATGAATAATGTAACAATGAAGCATGGCGAGGTACGATGAGCTGTATATCTCTTTTTCAGAAGTAATCTGGCCACAAATAATAGCTCAACGAAGTGGCTTCTCTAGAAATGTATTGCAGCAAAATAGCCTCAACGCATGTTTATAAATAGAGGGAAAAACTGGAGGACCTGGAGCAAAATCCACACTACCACAGGGAGAATATGCAAACTCAAAATAAACAGACATCAGGGTCAGGATCGAACCGATGACCTCCTACATACCAGGCGAGGTATTTGACATCTCACGACTGTAGTTCATCGACCGTGCAGAAATCGCGTTATAAGGGGCACGTTTTGCATTGTTCGAAAAGTGTTTCCGAAAGCAAGAACTGTGTTATAGTGAAAATGTGGTGTGAATACCACACGTTAAGCGAGGGCTTACCGCACATGTGGATTCAGCACATACCCGAACTCATAACATACACAGTGCACAACCTCCATCACAACGCCTCCCCCTGTTTCTCTCTGGTGCAGAGCTGATGGAATCTCTGGAAGGACGAACGTCCATGGGCCGGGCGTCTCGATCCATTACAGACGTGGCCTCCGAGGGCCAAGTCAGCTTGCTGCTGGCTACAACACGGCTCGGAATCACAGCACATACATAGAGGCCCCTCGTGCGCACACACACGTGTACAAGGGGGCCCAGACACAGCCCTCCATGGCGTGTGCTCACACCGTGAATAACTTGTCCGTTCGAGGTCTTCTGGGTTTGGATACATGTTGAGCATTTATTCTCTCAAGCTTTTGCATGCACTACTGCGGGCAGCTGCAGGAGTTGAAATGAAGATGCCCGCCCACTTGTTGTTTTTAAGTTTGTTGTCCTTCCCAGTACCTCCGATTAGCACTGTTGGCTATGTACGGTGCGAAAGAAGTTTAACATACATATCGCATGGCGAAGGCTTTATAGAAAATTACGCTGAACGAGCGACCTAACATGGAAGATGACACTTGGATGCGAAAACCTACGTGTTGAAACCCCTCTCCACTGTTCATACGAAAGCTGGGCCTAGTCTCCTGTAGAGACCTCAATGAGCACCTTGGATGCCTCTTGATGGAACAGGGGGTCACCTCGTTACTTCTGCAGTGTCCGTGTTCCCAGGAAACTGTAAATACCTTGCGTATTAGGAAGCATAGCGCTTCATTAAATATAAATATTTTACTGGTCGTAATTAATTTTTAAATGTATTGGTGGCAAGTGATGAATGGATGTTGCTGTATTGGGTGTTGGTAGTGCTGTGGAAAGCAGCAGTTATGGGGCTTCTTGCTGTAGTTGTGCCTTTCTTTGCACAATGTTAAAATAAACGTGAGGAGGACGTTTGTGATGTTGAACTCGATGTTCTTAATAAATATGCTTTATTTCCTTTATCGGCATTTGACACAAGACCAGGTTTGTTTCTGGGGTGAGGACTTTTGCCTCATTGCAACAGAGAATTTAAGCCACAGATCTCACGTGTGTGTAGGTGACACCGTTTCAAGTAGTGTGATTCTTGTTTAGATAAAAACATTTAAAATATTCAATGAAGGACAACGGAGTAAATTAATACCACGACTTTCCTGTACAAATAAAAATTGAGGCTTGGTCTGAACCGCGAATCTAAAATTTTGCCCAACACTGGTGGCTCCTGTTGATCTAAAGCAGGTCAAAGGATGTTGCACACGCTGAATGAATAAGGCCACATTGATGATATTTGGAGAACGGTGCCACTGCTCAGTCAGAAAGGTCATGGTCTCCCTCAGCATACCGGAGGTGGCGGTTGTACTCCGACTCTGTGATTGCAGAAAATATGAAGTCTGTGGCCGTATTCAAGGGTAAATCTGCACCCAGTCACAAAAAACACCGGATGCATGACAACGCACACTGAAACATTATCAGGGTGATACGTATGCAGACGCCGACATTGGCAGATATCTGCTATGTTCCCAGCATTTCCACAGATACAATTATTGTAGGTAGCTACGGATGGAGGGGCATAGGAAAGGAAGTGATTCGGATTTATTACCTGTACTGTTGAGGGGCAGCTGTAATGGACGCCACGCACAAGCAGCACGATTGCCCCCAATGCTGCCCTGTTGAAAACATACATGGACTCATTTCTAGATACAGGGATTTGATTTCATCAATAACATATTATTTGTTGCGATAGAACCGCAGTACAGGCGACCCCCGCACCTACGACCTAACTTGTTCCTGGACGACGGTCGCAAGTTGAGTCATCGTAAATCGAACCCTTATTTCCCATCGGCGCAATGTTATACATTGGGGTTGCATTCCTGGAAACCCATTACCATAAAAATACGAAAAATTACCACGAAAATAAATTAAAATAACCCTAACAAACATTTATTGTAACTTAGCATAACCTTTACAAACATTTATTAAGAAAAACAAACATTTGTAAATCCTCAAGTACTTTTCTGCATGTGCTTCACATTTCCTCTTCTCAGACGTAGCAAAAGCCGATTTTTGAAAAAAATGTTAAGAAAATTTACAAAGAAGCGTTCAGAAAGACGCTGCGTTCGCTCTCGGCGCAGCTGCAGACTGTCGGGCGATACTGTACGCCATCTGGCGACGAGTGTGTGCATGACATAAGCAAACTCGTCGCCAATCGACTCGGCGTCTGTAGCAGTCGTTAGGCGGTCGTAGATACGAGTTTTGGTCGTTACTGTCGGGGTCTTAATTACTATAAGGTCGGAAAAGCGGGGGGGTCGCAAGTTGAGCCGTCGTAAGTCGGGGGTCACCTTACCGTGCCATATGCGCTCACCATGCCTGGCTTCACACCCACGGTCTTTGTAGATTCCGAAAACTGTAGATTCTGAAACCTGGCTGCCTTGGTGACAGCCTCCAGAGCACTCCTTTTGGCTGCTGAGGAAATCAAATAAACAAATTCAAGCAAGCAAGCTACAGCACACGCTAATCGAGTGTGGTGAACGCACGCCTCCATACTCACCGCTGAGATGCAGTGCTTCCCTCTCGCTCCGCGTGCGGAGACGCTTGTTTCGAGAAAGGCACTCGTCGCTGCTAGAGCTGCTGCTCTGAGGCCATCCCAGGTCTCTCTCATTCCCCGTCGCCTCGTGGTTCCGAGGTTTCTGGCATGGCTTTTCCAAGGCTGGTCTGCTCGGGCTGTGCCTCTTTGACTCCACACGTTGCTGCTCACTCTGGGCACCCACTTCCTTCGTTGGTGTAGCGGCAGTGGACACGGTGGGGCCCGAGGTCGTCCTCCTGGGCCGCTTTGCCTTCCGCACAATGCTCTCGCTCGCTGACTCTTCTTCATCAATTGCCTCTGTGCACTCCTGGAGCTCTGTTAGGAGCTCCGTGGGGTCCTGGAAGGTCAACGTACGCTTCCTGGAGCTGTGCTGGAGAGCAACTTGGTTCTCACGAGGATGTGGAGACTCCAGAGTCTGTGCATCCGGTGGACTGGGTAAATTCTGTATCGCACCCAGTGTGTCTGGAAGGATGATTCTTTTGAGGGATATATATGGCACAAGTTTCAATCTGTTATGGTCCATCCGGGCCACCTCGCCACTGGTGGGCCCTGCACCGCCCAGCGAACCCCTCTCCGTCTGCTCCGTGTGGCTCTCCATCTGCTCCGTGTGGCTCTCCGTCTGCTCCGTGTGGCTCTCCGTCTGCTCCGTGTGGCTCTCCGTCTGCTCCGTGTGGCTCTCCGTCTGCTCCGTGTGGCTCTCCGTCTGCTCCGTGTGTCTCTCCGTCTGCTCCGTGTGGCTCTCCGTCTGCTCCGTGTGGCTCTCCGTCTGCTCCGTGTGGCTCTCCGTCTGGTTGGCCGAGCTCAGGTCTTGCAGCAGTGCATCCAAGGCCAACTTGACCTCAGTCAACCTTCTTGCTGTTGGCTTTGGTACGATCGGCTGATGCTTGTGGGAGCCCTTTGTGGTGCCTGGACATAAAGATGGCCACGATAACCCGGAATGAGATAACGAGAGCTGCACCGACTGAAAGCCTGGCATCAGCCTCACATTATGGCGGTGACTGATGAGGCTTGAGTGGACCTACCATCGTGATCGCTGACCTGGCGTGCCGGGGCCTTAATGCTTCTTGGTTTCGGCCTCGTGAGAGACGTGTCCGTCATATCTTCAGCAGGTTTCGCCATCTCGCTCTTGTTTCACAAAAAAATGGCAAACATGTTTAACGTGCGTTTACATTTACTTTTCTATTGAGATGGATATAAATATATATCCTTCAAAACAACTAATCCTACTCATGAACATGATAAATATGCATTGTTGTGTAAATACATTTCGGGTTCGGCTAATATGTTTTTAAGTTGAAAAAAGCCACAAATTACGGATTCCATCTCATCAGTTATAATCAGCATGCTATTGTGAAAACAATGCATATATTAAAGCACAATGAGCCAGTGAGCTGGTCAGGTGGCTCAGTGGTACAGCAAGTGCCTTGCCATCAGAGGATTGCGAGTTCAAATTCCAGTTGGGGGTTAACTCAACCCATTATCCCTCCATGGTGGTTAAAATATATACCACGTTGTGGGAAAGTCAACAGTATTTGTCCGATCTATAGACTTGCCCCAGTCATAGGAATGGGGACTTTCCGCGACTGACTCAGGGCTGTAAATAGGAGATAAGCACTACCTCAATTCATTTGAGCAGGAAATCACTGACTTGAGTGTCCATTACAGAGAAATAACTTGCACAAATCTACTCTGATGTGAATAATGAAATTATTGGAAACTCAGTCCGCGGCTCACCAACACCACAACATCTAAGCTCTTTGCACGGCTGCACTTGGCGCATGGACACGCACACACTAACCAGATATTTGCAGGTCGGGGTGATGATGGTGTGGCTCAGCAGGTAGTCGTGCCCACCGGCCGTCACATGCACCTTGCCCGTCTTGGGGTCCGTGATCAGGTGCTCGCCCCTCCAGTAGTCCAGTGGGGGCCTCACGTGCCGCCCGCTCCTTGTGCAAGGTGCTAGATGCACAGACAAAAATCCCCCGTAAAGTGTTTTAGCGGCCGTTGGGGCAAGTGCTGTTAGCGAGCACCAATCGAATCTGGCACAGCACACGAGGGGGTGGGTGGCCAGCGCCACGCCCGACTGCCTTCGTCTCCCCAGCGGTGATGTTTACATACCGCACCAGGTACTTATTTGAGGTTGAGTCGACCTAGAGCAGGCCCAGGACCGGTTAAGATAATCGCCACTGGTGTTGGCTGTGAGCGGGAATCAAACACGGGTCACCGGATTTATAGTGCAGCGTGCTAACCGCGACACTACCGCTCCCCACACTAGATGCACACACAACAGCTTAGCGAGGTTACAACAGCAAGTCAGAATTAACACCAAGCTCCACGTGAAGCCTGAAGTATATCAGGCGAATCTGCTGCTCTTGGTACTGATGATGGCAGTACAATTGCTTCTGCTACACAAAGCCATGCATCCTGTTACATTCCCCCTATTAATTCATTATTTGCCTTTGTGGTCTATGGAGACCGGGTGGTAGTAGTGACTTAAGCAACAACTGCTGATAAAGTCCAAGACGCAGTCAGACCCGAAGAAAATTTAAATATGACTGCGTAAATCTCAGATTACATGTTTTAGTTAAATTATAAAGAATAAGTGTTGCCAAGAGTTTTATCATCCATTAAAATAATATTAAGGTCCATCAGCCTTTGGGGCTTTATACAAATTCAGCTGATCACACCCAATAGTGTTCTTGTCGGGCTTTTACTCATAACATCAGACTCTCTAATAGGATGTCTTAACAGTCACAGTGGTGATGAGATTGATAATGTCAAAAGTCCATTCTAGATTTGAAGTTTTCGTGACTGCAAGGATAATGTCAATAGTGGTCCAGGGTTTTCTGCTTAACTAAACACAGCAATCCCTCACCAACCGCATTTTTCACATCAGGGGTATTTATGTATCCACGGTGTTCCTTCGGCATACCAATTTGCTAACTGCTATATGTAATTTTGGGTAGTCGTGGTTTAGCACGGTGACCAGCACTTGTAATTTCAAGTCACTCGTATGTATTCCCTTCATGCATAATCTCATCTCCCAGCTCCCACCACCGATCTCTTCCCACCACCAATGCTCTCCCTTGCATAGTGACTGTTGTAGTGTGTGGGCATTGTCATATTCCTACGCATTCCACTTTTCTTGACGTTTAATAATCATTTATTTGCATTAAGTGTGCCTTTAACCACGACCCATAAGTGTGCAACCAAAAGGGTGAGCAAAGCCCATCTCCCCTTTTGTTATGAGGTGGTGAGGCTCAAGAGTGTGTTGGAGTGGCTACATCAGGTTCGGTATCCATCACGTATTATTTACTTAAAATAATGTAAAAGTTATCCTAAAACAGCTTAAAATATAGCAGAGCTACTCAGCCACGCCCAATGTACCAGTTCACTCATAAGAGCCTTTCCGATCTCTGGCTCAGCCCCCTTTATTTAGGCGACAGCTCTCCCTCAATTAATTTTTCCATTTTTAAATCTAGCTGTTCCCCAATTACCTCACTCCATGGGGAGTTGTCACACCTCCCAAGAAATCATCCTGGGTGTGTATCCACATTAGGGCTGAACGATTTGGGGAAGATATCTAATTGCGATTTTTCAGTTCAATATTCACTGTGTAATAGATTTAAAACATGTGATGGAGCATTACTACATGATACCATCAAAATATGAACTGTTCTATATATTCTAATGTAAGGATGAGAACTTAAAAGATATTAATTGCTTCCAACATGTATTTATTAAAATTTTACATTGAAATAGAACAATCAAACATAGAACAATTGTTAAGTTAAATAAAGCTATAATAATAAAAAAGAAAACAATTCCAATAAGAAAGTAATAGGAATTTTCAAATCGTAAAAAATCACAGCCTTTGCTACTTGCTAATCGCATTGTTTCAAATTGCGATTTCGAATAGAAATCGATAAATCATTCAGCCCTAGTTCACATACCCACGACACTAAGTGGTCCCTCCAATTCCACACAAAGTATCCAACCCCAGTGACCTGTGCCCACAGGTGTGGGCACAGGTCACAACACTTCTAACACCCCCCGATTACCTCATCAACGTCATCACCTTGAACCCTCAGTATTAAAGGTAAATAATATTATTTTATGGTTTGTATTTATTATTTGTACATGTATTGTTGTTTTTATTATGTCCTTGTGTATTTTATTTAAGTTTAGTGAAGGAACAGGCAACTTGGTTTGGTGTTTTAATAAATAAAACTGAAAATAAATACTTTATTTGTGAGGAAACAGACCCTTGTCTATTTACTATTTATCACCTGCAATTGAATATGACAGACTAAAATCACATGTGGAACAACGTTTTCAATTACAGGCACTTGTGATCCAAGTTTCTACGTGATGGTAATGGAGCTGCAGTGAGATACGCCACCTGCAGGAAGCCGGCGCTTGGTTAAGGAGGCGGTCTTTGGCTGCCGTGCCTTGTCGTTGGCAGGAGGTTCCCCCCTTTTTGATGGCTGAGCCGCACGCGCCTCTGTTCTGTAAATAAGATGAATCCGTCATAAAAATCCCTGCATTTCCAAGTGTACGGGTGGCTCAGGGATCAGAGCCCTGAGCTGGCACCACTGAGGTCGTGGTTTCGAATACAGAGAACCGCCTGGGATTATACCGCATTCTCAATTGTAGCCGATTGATAGTCTTAGCCTAAGTCACCGATCACTGCACACAAAAAACCCCATCACATTAGATTTGGCTTTCACTTAATTTGGCTAAAATCGAGCTCTGGCATGTAAACATTTCAGTTTGATTGACATGCAATGAACACTTTTTTTCAGGGCATAGAAAAAGTGTGGGTAAAGAGGCCTTTTGACATTTCCTCTAAGATCGTTCTTAGGAGGCCATTCTCTGAAACAGGGTGATTCACTACTCGTTGTCAAGTTCCAAATGAAAATGTATGATGACATGATGCAGGTGGCTGACCTGTCAATGGTGGAAGTGCCTGTTGCCCACATCTTGGCCATATACACTATTCAATTGTCAACCTTATTAAAGTTTCCAAATTTCTTTGAAAACCCCTATAAGTTGTCATCTGCAAATACAAGTTGGCAAATCTCTTTGCACTTTCTCTCTGAATTAAATAAGGTCTATTGCCAAAAACATCAGTCAACTATATATCTTTACAATAAAACAGTGTTAAAAAATATAATCAATGCAGTGAGCTTGATTCATGGTTGGGTAAAAACACTTGCTGCTCCATACGTACTTGTGAATTGCTAAGTGTTGAGTCAGGACCTTGTCCCAGTCGTCTGGAAATCCATTCATAAACTTTCTGTAAACCGCACTTGGAAATACTGTAAGAACCACAAAGGTGGGAAAGTGAATCATCAGCCACAGAGATTCTTCAAACTGGTGTCCATGCAGACAATAGCTCCGCTCCTTCATTGGACCAAGTCGTCTTTGAGATGTGGTCACCTCTAAACGCTCTGCAATTCTAAATTGTTGTGGCTACAATTAATCCCTGGAGACTTTAAGGAAAGGTCTTTATACCAGGACATGTATATAACATGGTAGCTTTCCTCACTGATAAAACGTCCACAACAGGCAAAACCAGGGAGGCATTTAAACACACACGTATGTACACGCACTCACCAGAAGACTCCCGGTTATGGAAGTTTGGAGGACCCTTGAGACTGTAGATGGCACCAGACTTAGTCTTGAGTTGGCGCGCAGACAGACGCTGCACAATACCACTGCTGTGCCACATCACGTTGCTGTCCCTGAGACCAATGACAACAGCTTAATGTAATAAAAAAAATCCAGAAAAGCTTCACGGAGTCTCATGACTCTTTTTCAAGGAGAGCATGCTTTGGGATATTTAGACAATTACATCAATGAGTGTTTTGCAGGTGGAAGTAAACGAGTACCTGGAAAAAGAGGGCTAACTTTCAACGCTGCCATTTACTTGTCCACCATGCAGCCCCACACAAAAAGCACCAAGCAAGTCCTGGTGATCACCTATTCAAGTGCTAACCAGGGTAAACCCCCCGAGTTTTCCAGATCTTACAAATTTGGGCACATTTAGGGAAGAGGACCCAGTAGCTTCCTAAACCAAAATCATACAAAGGAAAACCACGTACGTTCGGATACCCTCCACGAACACCGCTGTGCCACCAGCGGAAGAAATCCTCCACATCTTCAAGATGATGTTTCCTGCCTCCTCACGACAACACCCGTGGTGTGACACTCAGTTCGATGGACACAAATACTAAACGTACAGTGTCTGTTACAAATATTTGGCAGTGAAAAATGGGGTCGAATGATCAATGCAAGCACCTGGTGACTGCTGTCATCTGCAGGTGTCATCTGCTCTTTGTCCAGTCCTGTTTCCGGCTCCGCCTCTAACAAGAACCCTCTCTTGACAGGGGGACATTGTCTCGTGCAGTTTTGCTGCTGGTCAAGCAGCTCTATTCCTTCAGAGATATCTGCAAATGGATTTATAAAAAAAAATATGAACCATGGCTGGCCGAGTACCTCTAGGGCTGAATGCCATGTCATCAAAGCACTTGAACCAGCACCGACCGCTGTGATACAGGCAGCCACTTATATATAAGAGGTATTTTTTACATTATGCTTGATAGCCGCAATGACTTGATATTCTCAACCCTCTCACCAAAGACTGCACAAATAAAACATGTTACCCAGTTAAGCTTATTTCAGCTCTGAAAATGTCGCATTGTTAGATGAACAAACTTTGCAGAAGATACAAAATGTGTACCACCATAGCGGATAAAAGGGGCTGTGGAAGTGATTTCAGAAGTATTTTTGTACATCCTCTTCTGAGGTTACTCTGACACAAGGTGGTGTCACTGCTTGCTAAGAAAGTCTCAAAAGTACATTTGTTCAACTCAGTTGTCCAATTGGAATATAAAGAAACGTATTTTTAATGTAAAAAAATAATGATACAATGAGATCGCTAACCATTACCTCCAAACTCATTCAAGAGGGCCACAAACCCCTCTTCCTGAGATAGATTGTCCAGGATAACATTTTCGATGTACCCCTGTTCATTATCCATGCCATCTGGATGAGTCCGGGCAATGCTTCCTTCCATTCCGATGGGGCTAGCCTCTGCAATGCCTTTTTTCAGGGCGACGTTGCAGCCTTGAGGTGTGTCCATCTCTTCTCTGCCCCGGTAGCACAGGCTAGCCCGAGTAATGTCTTCATCCAGGTCAAAAGGGCCTTCCCGTAACGTTCCTTTAGGCAGGCCAATCGGGCTAGCCCAGGCAATGTCCATTGTCTGGCTTACTGCATTAGCCCATGTTCTTGGTTTGGCCTGGGCTTCGTCTGCAAACTCTGTCTGGGTGCCCAGGCTGACCATTTTTCTAAAAATTAACTCGCACATGCTGGGGCGAGGAGCTCCGTTCTTGCCAATGTATGGTAACCCGAGGGGGATCCACATGCCCCTCATGATGGCAGTCTCCTCGTCGTCCATGTTGCATCTTATGTCGGGTTTGTGCTCCATGGAGGCCCTCAAGGCTCTGCAATCTTGTGATGGGAAGAAGTGCTGTCATTAGTCGGCTGGAGACAGCGAGAAGGCCAAGATGGTGAAGGAAGAGCTGAGTGGCCGGTCCTTGCTGCTGGTTCAGAAAGCAAACAGATGCACCAGCTTCACCAAGACAAACAACAAGCATTAAGACCACCACCACCACAATGAACACCAATGAGGGTATTAGGATCAGCAGCATTTTCACCAAAACATTGACAACACTTTGACCTCCAACACTGCCACTTGGCCTGGTACGTTTGCGGAGGGCTGCCATCCCTTCCCATTGCTTCTTGCCATTGTAAAAGGGAACAACTTTGCCGAGGCCCAAATTGTATCCAATGGAATATTTATGATTCACGTGCTTTTTTTACATGGGGCACACTAAACCGAAATATTACATGTGGCATTGACACATTTGTAAACAATTTCCAGGAGATAGTGGTATGTTATTTACACTGACACTATTTACAGTACTCACGGCATTTTGGGGGGCCCCTGAGTTTAGGGTAGAGTTGTACCCCCCCCCCCCCCCACATTGTCCTATCTCGTCAGGCAAGACGACCCCAAGAAACAACAGCAACATTCAACAGGACGAGGACCACCAACACAAGACTGACAGCACCTCCGGTCACCACAAGAGCACCAGGATTAACAATTATGTTAAGATCATCCACCAGTGCAGGCCAAATGTGTGAACTTTTATCTTTGACAAATGTAATAGTGCTGTTTGTTGCTGATCCCTTGGTGATTTTGGCCTTTACTTAGCAACCGTGATTTAAATTCAAAGAATGATGCATACCCCACCAAGATACAACACACTCCACCTCACTGCCCAGTTTAAAAAACTGCTTCAAGTCACCACGCAGACCTTTTTACAGCCATCATGTCACTTACTCGAGGATTTACCAGGTATTCAAGTCACCACTAGGCAATGTACGTGGTATTAAACAGCGTAAATGTGAACGTACTGTCTATATTTACTAGCTCCTGCCACACGGGCGTGCCAGGGTGCTGCGGCTGGCCCCTCGGTATCAATTAGTGCTTCGTCGCGGCCCACGTGGGCAAACCCCGGGGGGGGGGGTCGGACATAAATAGGTGGGGGTTGAGTGAAAGTTTACACCACGTTTAGAATCGCGGATGAAAACTAAAATCTCTCGAACTTTTTCAAATCCCCGCAACTTTTCCCGCCAAAATCGTGGCGCCGCAACGAACGCGAAGCCGGCTCCGTCATCGCGGACACGAAACGATCTCCATCACGTCCCCTCCCCCGACAGCCTCAGCAGTCTGCTGGAGCGCAAGCTCCTCTTGATGGTCGACACGGCACACGAGGAGGAGAGGGGGGGGTGCGGTGGCCCGACCCGCCTTCGTCTCCCTCAGCGGCACCACGGGCCGTCTCTGGGGCGCCCGTCGGTTGCGAATCGAACTCTGGCGGTCGGGTTCGGAGAGCGGAGCGCGCAAGCCGGAGGGCTATCGATCACGCACTGGCCCTCACGCGTCGTGCCGTCTCCTCACCAATCTCCTCACCAATCTCCTCACCGATCTCCTCACCGGCGCCTCCTCGTCACGGCGGTGGCTCCGCGGGCATCTCCCTCACACTGACGGCGCGGAGTCGATCCAGGACGATTCGATCCAGATTGATGCGAATCGTCCGGATCGATTCTATCTTGACGCGAACGGAGTTGACCCCCATTGAAATGTGCACAATTCGCTCTGACGCTAATAATTATTCTATCGACGAGTCATTTTAAATGCCCCCCCCCTGTTATCACCCGAGGTATTACATCTTACTTCTTACTGAAAATCATCGAAGACCACTGACTTCGCTGGTGCCGTTAAGCCTGTGGCGGCATTTGGGAGACACTGACGAACGCTTCACGTGCTTGCCTGCAATTTGTAAACCTTGTTCCAGCCCCTCACGTCACGGTAAGGGATCGTCCCTAAATGACGTCACGCACCTAGGGGGTGGGGTCAGACATTTGTGACGATGTGTGACGAGGGGGGGTTTGAGAAATGTGACGTCACATCAAAATGCGCAACTTTAAATAAATATAGACAACACGTTTAAAGCGATTTGAAGCATGTTTTATATTTTTTTGGGGGGGGGGGGGGCAGAGCTTTGTGACGTCATATTTGAGGGGGGTCTGACTTTTTGTGACGCCGTGTATAAGGGGGGGGGGGGGGGGTAAAAAATCGTCCAAAATCGCGTGACGTCATTTATGGACGGTCCCTAATTAACTTAATATACAGCAGCCCAGAGTTGTGGGTTATTGCGGGGACAGCAAACACTTCAATGCAGTCATAGTACTGTTACATAATTACATTTATGATACGAATACAAGAATCATGACAGTAATTTAGTACAAGGTCTACCCACCACTTGGAAATGATCAACGGCGTGTTTATAATTGTTATAACATCACAACTGGTGATCCGTGCTGCTGTTGGGGATTGACGTCGGCATGAAGTTGTCCGGGATTTCACTCCGCGGTGACCCCGGGTGACCGGAGCCTTCCACCCGGGGGGGGGGGGGGGAGTAGCCGGGGGGGGCGGGGGGAGTAGCCGGGGGGGGAGTATCGGGGGGGGGGGAGTATCGGGGGGGGGGGGAGTAGCCGGGGGGGCGGGGGGAGTAGCCGGGGGGGGCGGGGGGAATAGCCCGGGGGGGCGGGGGGAGTAGCCGGGGGGGGCGGGGGGGGGCGGGGGCAGTAGCCGGGGGGGGGGGGAGTATCGGAGGGGGGGGAGTATCGGGGGGGGGGGGGAGTATCGGGGGGGGGGGAGTATCGGGGGGGGGGAGTATCGGGGGGGGGGAGTATCGGGGGGGGGGAGTATCGGGGGGGGGAGTATCGGGGGGGGGGGGAGTATCGGGGGGGGGGAGTATCGGGGGGGGGGGGAGTATCGGGGGGGGGGAGTATCGGGAGGGGGGGGAGTATCGGGAGGGGGGGGAGTATCGGGGGGGGGGGAGTATCGGGAGGGGGGGAGTATCGGGGGGGGGGGGAGTATCGGGGGGGGGGGAGTATCGGGGGGGGGGAGTATCGGGGGGGGGGAGTATCGGGGGGGGGGTATCGGGGGGGGGAGTATCGGGGGGGGTGGGAGTATCGGGGGGGGGGAGTATCGGGGGGGGGGGGTGGGAGTATCGGGGGGGGGGAGTATCGGGGGGGGGGGAGTATGGGGGGGGGAGTATCGGGGGGGGGGACACCCACCACGCCGCCTCCGTCATCGGCAGGCGACCGCAGCGAGCGCCGCGCGGTGGCTCCTCGACAGCGGCGCCTCGCTCCCCCCGTGTCGCAGCGGCAGGCGCCCAGTCTGCGGGCATCGTCGCCTCCTCCTCTCCCTCATCTCCCCCCTCCTCCTCATCTCCCTCCTCCTCATCTCCCTCCTCCTCATCTCCCTCCCCTTGCTGCTGCTGCTCCTGCGAGGAGCCCCGACTCGAGGCCCGGGGGGTCACCTTCCTGCCCCGAGAGCCGAGGCCGCCGTCGCCCCCTCCCGCCTGCTGCCCTCGCACACCCGGTGGGGCCCTCGACTGGTTTTCTAAAAAAAACTATTTAGACGCTTCCCCTTATTACATGTTTAGTTATTTTAGTAAATAAATTTTAAAACGTATTTATAACAATCTTGTTTTATTCTGGCTGCTGCTACTCCGACTGATGCTCCCGCTGTTGTGGAGCGACTCATGCAGCCAGATATGGCTGCAGAGTTTGGTAGTACGTGTTGTAGACGTAGTTTATACTGGTAGGAACGAAGTGGACCAGACCACCAATAGATTAATGTGTCCGTCCGTCCGTCCGTCCGTGTATCAACATCGCCCCCTACTGCAAACACTTGGCATGACCCTACAAAAACCTTTAGACTCAGTGACGCTATCCTGGCTAAACAAGTGTAACATTCCCTTATAATTCCCTCAGATAGCTTTTAATTAAAACATTTAAATTAATGAGGCTTTCCTGGCTAAACACGTGTAACATTCCCTTATAATTCCCTGAGATAGCTTTTAATTAAAACTTTGAAATTAAATAAAAAAACTCACAGCGCCCTAAAGTCTAGAACTAGGCCTCAATCTCTCCCTTCGTATCGTCCGATTTGGTGTATCAACATCGCCCCCTACTGCAAACACTAGGCAGGACCCTACAAAAACCTTTAGACTCAGTGGGGCTTTCCTGGCTTAACAAGTGTAATAATACATTTGTTTATATTCTTTGGTTATTCGTTCCTACCAGCCCACCCCGCAGGGTCCTGTTTGTGAAAATTCGGTCACAGTTCATATGACCACTGTTTCATTGCTTTTATGGCTTTATTTGGTGATTTTCGAAAAGATTTTTGGTTTGGCCATGTTTGTTGTAACAGTTAGACTGATGGCCTTAATCTAAGTTGTCTTGTGGTTGTTGTTGTTTGACTTGCATCCCACTGGGATTTTTGCACAGTGTTGGTGTACGGTACTTTTTCTGCAATATTTTGCTGTCTTTTCTTGGATTTTCTGTTTGCACTCAGTCACATATTTACTTTAAGATGTTTTTTGTTCATGTTTTTGTTTTTCGTTTGTTGCGGTTGCACCCGATTCAAGAGCCGAATGGCTCACAGGGCTACACCTAATAAATGAACTTGAACTTGCTGCTGTGTCCTGTACAGCGCCTTGATGAAAAGTGCCATCTAATTGTAATTATCATTGTTGCGTTACCGGTAACCGCCGGATATAAATGTCCCGCGACGAGCGTGATATGTTCAACGTCGCCCAATGAGAACACGGCGAGGCCTGCCGCATCTCAACAGCGCTCTGGGCTTTGTCGTGCAGAGAGGTCACCGGTCCCGCAGCGCGATTCGTGACCAAAGTTCCACTGAACATCGATCGGTTGCCGATTTTCGGAACCGGTGATCGATTCATAAGACGGTTGTCGTTTCACAACCCTCGTCAGTCCATGGTGGGTGTCGAGTGTCCGTGGTGGGTCTGATAAGCTCCTTGGCCTGAGTGCCTGGTAAATACCTGCTGGATACTTGCGGAGATCCTCCAGGGCTCTATGAGTGTGCCGAGTTCTTGGGAGGTGCCTGGTAAGTCTGGTAATGTTTGTAAATACCTGGTTGGGTCCCGAGATGGCATCGAGCTAGACATTGTGTCCCCGGTACGAGGTGGGAGCCCCAAGTGGAGTACCTGGACCCGTTACCGACACAAAACCCATACTCTTTAGTTCTTTCGGTAAAGTCACGTAGGTATCAAATAAATTACGACGTTTAGATTGCAACACAAGCAATCATCATCAGGTGGGAAAACCACAGGAATATATATTTTTTGCTGAAGTGGGAGAGAGATGCCGTGGTTAGAGGTTATTTCGGTGAGAGGTTATTTTCTACCTACGTGACTTTACCGAAAGAACCAGAGTATGGATTCCTGCAGTCACGAAAACTTCAAATTTAGATTGACACAAAATTAATTTACCTCGCCAACTGCAGGGCCCAGCGTGGAGACCGAGCACTGGTGAGGGTAACGATTGCGTTCTTGGCAATTGTCGATTGAGAGCACGGTGGTGCAGAAGGTGATGCTACTTACGATGAGGTGCGGGATGGCCTAATGAGAGTTTCGCTGTTGACTCTTGAATCCATCAGTGTCGAGCTTGTGTTGTCTCCGCATACATGTGGATGTTCACCGTTTGTTTTCCTCCCACACGAGGCCATCAATTGAATTGGCAAGAAATTGATGGTACTGGTGTTGGGTACGTTGGTGATGTCAGAGGTGATCATGGGGAATGTGCGATTGATTCAAGTTAAGGTAATTCCTCTGAAGGTGATGGTACTGTTGATGCTGCTGGAGATGATTTCGATGGTGGTGATTGTGTAGGTGATTGGTGAAGATATTGCTATTGGTGGTAATGCTGATCTCTCGTGCTGGCGCCGAGTTACGGTCCTCGTGGCAATGGTACTCATGATGGTGCTGACACCGCTGCTCCCGTCTCCCATACAGGCCACACACCATGTCGCGACACAGCCGCCTGCAGAAGCAGGTGCTGGGCCTGTACAAGCAACTGTTACGCGCGGCCCATGACAAGCCAGGCTTCACCCCGCACATCCGCGCCGAGTTCCGCCGCAACGCCGCCTTTCCTCGCTCGGACGTTATGCGCATTGAGATGATGATGCGGCGAGCACAGCGCCAGCTGGAACAGCTGCGCGACCCCAGCACCCGCCAGATGGGTGCCTTCAGCAGCACGGAGCCACCGGGGGAGCGGGCATGATGGCGCCACGGCCGGCAGCATCCCAAGTGCATGAGCGACTCAACCAGCTACTCAACATGGGACCAATACTGCCCATGTGGATCAGCCAGGGTTCATGGTGCGTTTGGCGACTTGGGAATGACTGACGTAGACTGTGGAGTCCTGGGTAATGGCTGGTGTCTCCAAGATAAAAGGAATTAAAGATTTGGTGTTTTGTGAATGTGTTTGGAACTTGCGTCGTGATGTTGAGCTTGTTAAACAGCAACCAACCACAGCAAAGTGTCCATAATGGACAGGGCTTAGTTGAACACAGTTGCTGAGGCACATGGCTCGGAGCCTGATACGTCAAGCAGCCAGCAACAATCACTCCCATCACAATAATAACAAAAAGTTAACGTTTCTTTAATTCAGCAAGGTTATAAGTGCTTACGAAAAGAGATGGCAGGGAATGATATGGCTGCGGCTACGTGCCAAGTTCAGCTGACCAGAACCCCAGAATATTCGGTGATCGATTAATCTTTGGTTGACTCGCACAGGCTGCCTTCTTGGGCTCATGGTCCACATGTGGTTGACATCACTGTCTTGCACAATGCAACTCAATACCAGTGCCTGAAATATTGTACACGTTGCACACTCTTGACATGTGAAGTGTGGGTATAATGCTGCTGCCTGCTTCAGGTTACACAGTTTACCCCACCCTAGTCCACTTGGCCACCGTGTGTCGCAGTTATGTGCGGGGCCCTCTCTGGTGCTTTCCATAACTTAGTATCGCACACACAGGATAAGCTGTATATATATTTGTATAGTCACTAAATGACGGACATCACAACCATGCATAAAGGAGTACACGCTGTTTCATGTTGCTAATAAAATATTCTTTATGAGAACACGCGCATGTCTGAATTAAGTCAACGCTTAGTGTATAGAAAGGACTTCTTGTTACATCCAATCATTGAAATTACATAATAGACGTCCCGGCATGAAACCTGTTCATCTTGCGGCCCATGTTCACTGCAATTTCCCCTCGATTACCAAACGTTCTGAAAGTTCAGGTATACATTAATGGTGTTATGTGTATGGCATACCGTCGTATACGGCCCATTTGAACCATGGTGAAATATGGAAAGTTGGTGTGGATAATTGAGCAGAGCAGCCTGCAGCGCCATGTGACCACACGACGACATGGATGGGCTCGCATTAAGAATTGTGTTTGAACTTTTAAAGTGCCAGCGTGGGTCTGTAGCGTGTAGCGTCATACAATTTTCTTGCTGGCTCAGGGTGATTTTAGGTGATGGTAACCATGCCGTTTGGGCTGAGCACTTCAATCCAGTAGCCGTCGGGGTCCTGTATGAAGGCCAGACCCTTCATCTTGCCTGCTCACCCACAGGTTCACATTGACCACAGACAGTTCAGAACATGTTACTCAACAATAACTCAAGATTCCATTAAAATTACTTGATTGGGAAACACAAATTATTGGCCGCCCCCAACCAAGGCAAAAAACCCTCCTGAAATAAGTACTGAGACTTCCCTGGGCAAGTATAATAGTAATTACCCGTGAACACCGCCACCAGACAGGAGCACTCACCATCGTCGGGCTTCTTAACGAACTTAACGCCCAGCTCTTCGAAGCGCTTGCAAGCCGCATACACGTCCGGCACGGAGATGCCGATGTGCCCTGCGAGGGAGGAGGGGAGCACGTGTCGCACCTGGCCGGTACCCGCCAAAATCATGCAGCACCGGGCATCGTGTCGGAGCGGGCAGCAAGTGGAGAGTGCGGCAGTGGCACTGCGAGCTCACCGAATCCGCGGGGCTCCGTGTTGCCGTTGTGGTAGGCCTGGGCGTCATCGCTCTCTGTGCCCCAGTTGCTGCGTGGAACAAGGTGCGGTGTCAGGGACGTGGTGCAGATCAACACAAACCAGCGTGTCAAATGGTTATGTTTACCACAGGTGTCCTGCAGCAACAATGATGTTTTCAGCACTCAAAAGATGACTTGGGGGGGACCAATCGGTGCTGAGACAGTCTTTCATCAACAATGTGCAACCACATATGAATGACTCGTGAATTGGGCAAAATATATGCATATTCCATGTGCTGTAAAACATCAATAAGTTTAAATGCAAGCTTTGCATTCATACAATAATTAAATGTTGTGCTTTTGCCTCGAGGCAGCACAGGTAGTCAGATGTACAAGGTTGGTGCTGTGACACTAATCCCATGATTATATTCTCAAAGTAGGAACCGTGATGGCTGCGGACAATGACAACATGACAATGGCCAGCGTGTTCCCGTGCGGTCACCAAGGAGTTCTTGACTGAGATCAGCACAGCATTGTGCAGAACGGCACCTCACGCAATGCTTCTCATCAGATACACAATGACAACCTATGACCAAACTACTCGGAATGCATCTCGTGAGACCTCTGTTAGAAAATAGGCTTGAGCTTGGATCGTGCTTGGGTGGGTTGACCACTTTGCATGGCTTGTTCTGGGGTGCGGGACTATGTGGCAGGCAGCAGAGGGCAGCACAGAAAAGTAAATTGCTTTATTGTGCTCCTATGCTTTCACGGCTATGCTCCCAGGTTTCAGCAACACTGCACTCACCAGCATGGTGACGTGTGGTAAAATTAGTCCCGTCACCAGCACGGCGCAGGCAGGCGCTCATGCGGTAATGGATTGACAAAGGACAGTATACAGGGACGCCTCTACTTACGAACGAGTTAGGTTCCAGAGGTCTGTCCGTAAGTCAATCTGTTCGTAAGTCCAACTTTACTCCAATTGATTTCAAACGTTGTACGGCATGTACATTAAACAGAGGGAATGGCTTTAAAAGTTGTATAATCTCCGTAGATGCCGCTGGTTCTTCATATTCTGCAGATGTAGATGCCTCCATCTATTGTGCAGCAGTTGAACTTACGACTCTCGGTCCGAACAGGCAACTGGACATACGGACAGGTTTGTTCGTATCGCTGAAAGTTTGTCAGTCAGATGTTCGTAAGTCGAGGCGTCCCTGTATGTACATATGGCAACAGTGACTGATGGTGTCAAGGTGTGGGGTAAGGTGGCACGGGGTGCACAAGCTACACAATGCCACTTTCTCACACTTTGAAAGATTTGTAAAATACAGATTGCTTCATTTCTCTTGCTCTTTCCAACTTAAGTAAACCGATCACGTTTGAGTGTAATAAATGTGTACTACCTGCTATGACATGGATCAGAAACAAGCACATTAACAAGTAACATAAAACAAGCACAAGTATCCAAAAAAGTGCAAAGATGCATGCTTATAACATGGAGAAACAGAATGAAGAACACGGTATAGTAAACATATGCAGGTTATAAGTATAACCCGTAAAAACAAAGTTTTTCACTATAAATCTTTTATATGCGTGGCGGGTAGAGTCCTCTCGTCCTCTGGCTTGAGATGGCTGCCACCTATGGGTCAGATGATTGCATTGCACCATTAAGCAATTGGTAATTATATAAAATATTTTTGTCCTAAAAAGTGAAAAATTGTGGAAAAAATTTTTCACGAACATTAATTGTCACACACAACGAGTCTGTGTGAAAAATGTCAGCTCGATTGGATCATGGGAAGTGGGGTAAAAAACGACCGAAAGATTTGCACGGTCCGAAGCAAGCAAGCGAACTTAATAAAGGATTTAAAAAACAAGTATAACCCGTAAAAACAAAGTTTTTCACTATAAATCCTTTATCTGCGTGGCGGCTAGAGTCCTCTCGTCCTCTGGCTTGAGATGGCTGCCACCTATGGGTCAGATGATTGTCTGGCAGCATTAAACAATTGGTAATTAAATATTTAATTTTATTTCCCTAAACAGTGTAAAATTTTGGAAAACATTTTTCACGAAAATGCATTGTCACGCACAACGAGTCTGTGTGTAAAATGTCAGCTCGATTGGATCACGGGAAGTGGGTTCAAAAACGACAGAAAGATTTGCACGGTCCTAAGCAAGCAAGAGAACTTAATATAAAGGATTTAATAAGTGGTTATATTCTAAAATAAATAAGTGGGGGTCGGGTAGGACACACTGTTACAAGGGATCGCCAGTGCAGTGGCAGCCGAGGGATGGAACGTGTCCAAGAGAATGCCCACAGTGGAGATGGAGCAATTAAATCAGCTCGTGCACATCATGGGACATTGGGAGATCGGGGTGACTGGGTATGCCTTCATTCAACAGTGGATTAATAATGGCTAATGATGATGACCTTGTATCCAAGGCCAACAATCAGGTCATGTCCTCATGCTGCTGATGTTGGGAGTGGCACGGAAAACCCCTCTCAGTGTTGTGCATGGCTACGGGGTTGGTGCGCGGGCGCTAGCGTCTCACTGCGTGAGCTCGATGGTGGCAGGCCGCGTGAACGTCCACTGCACGCGCTCCTTTTTCCCTGCTGGGATCGCCTCCGCCTCCTCGAAGCCCAGGAAGAACAGAGAGAACTTCATCTCTGGGAAGTCAAACTTCTGCAGCAGCCTGCAGACAAAGGAGCACACAGGCAGCAGCAGCTGTTGAGGCGCTCACTCCTCCCACCATCACGCGGGCGTCATCACAGCCCCCAGGCCAATTCCATACACCTAGAACGAGGCTCCCTGCATGCCAGTGGTGGGGAACCTTTTCCTTTCTGAGGGTCGAATAGAACTTCAAACATCTTTCGGTGAGCAACCACATTGCAAGAGGCCCTTACGTTGACAGAAGTGACTGAGCGTGTTAAAGGTAGAAAATGTTCACACTAGGAAAATACATTTGTGCAGCAAAGATACTTGCGGTAATGGATAAATGACATTTGCAGGCCATTTCAAAGTGGTAGGCTTCACGTCACCATGGGCCGCAAGATATTAGGTCACAGCTCGTATCTGGCCTAGACCATAGGTTATCAACCCCTGCTGCCCTCTATACAAAGATCCCCCATATAGCCTTAACATACTGATGGGCCAAATTTTGTTAGCGAGCACATATGAAGGCCAGCACAGCACCCGAGGAGGGTGGGTGGCCAGCACCACGCCCAACCGCCTTTGTCTCCCCAGTGGCAATGTTGACATACTGCACCAGGTACTCATTTGAGTCCACGTAGGGGAGGCCCAGGACCAGTTCAGATAATTGTCACTGGTGTTGGCCATGAGCGGGACATCGAACTCGGGTTCCCAGGTTTGTAGCACAGCATGTTAACCACTACACCACCACTCCCCTCTATAAACAGACATTCACACAGGTGACCTACTGACAGCAATCTTAAGATTCACACAAATATTTTTAAAATTATTGATTTACTAATGTCTGTGTTACATGGACAAAGCAAGCATGAGATGTGGGTGGGTAGCGAACCTCATGCCCAGGATGCGAGTGTAGAAATCCAAGGACTTGACAGGATCCTTCACCCTCATCATTGTCTGCTGCATCACGAAGCCCTGAACACGTACACACACACATACACTGAACAAACACCCATACACTGAAGCCACACCCATAGACTCAACCAACACCCATAGACCCAACCCACATCCAATGTTGATGTTTACACACCGCACCAGGTATTGATTTAAAGCCGAGTCTACCTAGGGGTGGCTCAGGATCAGTTCAGATATTCATCCCTGCTATTGATCGTGAGTGAGAATCAAACTCATGTCGCCAGGTTCGTCGTGCAACGTGCGAACCACAACACTACCGCTCCCCACACTCATCACACACCCAACCACACACACACACTCCCACTCATCAGTGGAATAGTTGTGGCTGGCTATATATTTTTGGCCAAGTGCCTAGTTGGCCAGTGAATTGTCACCAACCATATTCTTGGTTCTTTCGGTAAAGTCACGTAGAAGGGAAACAATAAAATAATACAAAAATATATTTTGTATTACGTAGAAGGGAAACAATAAAATAATACAAAAATATATTTTTTATTTTATTGTTTCCATTCTACGTGACTTTACCGAAAGAACCAAGAATATGAATCCCTGCAGTCACGAAAGCTTTAAATCAAAATGTCACCAACCAGTTAGCGAGTTGGCATGGCCAAGTGACTTCGGTCATCTGTGGAGAATCGATTCTTAGGTTGACAAATCATGCTGGGAATCGTTAAAGTTCATGCATCGATTACTATTTAACACAAAATAACAATGCCCAGATACAACTGTAATGTTGCATTTAGGCTAAGGTAGTGAGCAAAACTGTACAGACGAGAAACAACAGTATTTATATGGGGCAGGCGGCGACTGCCCGCAGCAGCACCGCCTCGACTATAAATAACCACGCCGGGGGGGGGGGGGGGGGGGCTCGGGGTGCAGAGAGAGACAGCGCTCTGGATTTAGAGCGCCGCGAGATTTCTCTTCGGTTGTTTTTGGCTCGATTTCTATTTTTTACTTCATCGATGTACACTTCACTTGGGTTTTCACGATTCCTTTTGTGATTATGGTGACCGAGGTCGCTCTTGCAAATGAGACTCATCCATTGGAGGTATTTTTTGGGTTTAGATCGCGTAAATATAAATGTGCCGTTAAATCCGCCACCACCCGACACAGCCGTAACACGTGAGGTTTATCGCGTAAACAAAACGTGCAAATTAGTTATTCATTCAGCACTAACCGGTAAACCCACAACATTTACAATTTGAATACAACAAGTCTCATCAGGCAACAGCCAGAATTGTGGAGAAATCCTCCTGTTTCGTTCTTAAAACAATCAAATCTGAATCTTGGTCAGCCTCTCACCTGGTTCAACAAAAATAGACCTGAACCCTGAACATTCCGGGAGCTCACCCTGTGTTTGGACTCCCCCCCCCTACCCACTGACGGGATTTCCACCCTCGGCTTGCTCTCGGGTTCAACTCGTGCATGGACGGCAGCTTCGCTTCGCCTGTGATGCTCATGCTGCGTTCTTCAATGCCACTGGCGGCCCCTGTGGGCCTTTAGTGAGCCCCTTGACAATACACGAAGAGTGAAAGCCATCCTCCCCATAGCGCCGTCAACCCCAATGGTGTCAAATGTGTGGTGGCCCTCACAATGATGATGTCTCATCGGCAAAAGTGCCCCCTCCTCCCCCACCCATCTGAAAACGAGTGAAGCGCACGGTGTTAATGCCACGGGGTCCGTGGCATCACCTCGCCGCCACCACCACCACTCATTTTAGTGGCCAAACACCATGGGCGGCGAGCGAATGACGGCAACCCCACGGGGTGGGCGGCAGCCCGAACCCCGAGGAACGATTCGCGTCGTGCGACACCGCGAGTCGTCTCCTGCCCCGGCCTCACCCCTCACACCGCCTCGGGGTGGCCAGCCAGCTGGCTGCCACCAGGGGCTGGCAGGCACCGTCACCCTGCCCTCTCACCCTCACCTTGGTGCTGGGGTCCGGCTGCCCACACGCCGCCAGGACCTGCTCCTCACTCAGAGCGTGCGGAGCCGCCATCCTCGCTGCCTGCTCCAGCTGATGCAGGCGCGGTCACGAGGGCCGCTCTCCACCAATCACCACTCGCCCAGTGGCCCCGCCCCTCGGTCCCCTCTCCACCCCTCCCCTCGCCCCCCGAGTCCACCCATCCACGCGGCCCCGCCCACATGGCCCCGCCCTCGGAGTACCCTCAGCTGCAGGGTCCCGGTTGAACCTGCCACCTCGTGACTGAACCTGCCACTTCGTGACTGAACCTGCCACCTCGTGACTGAACCTGCCACCACGTGACTGAACCTGCCACTTCGTGACTGAACCTGCCACTTCGTGACTGAACCTGCCACCTCGTGACTGAACCTGCCACCTCGTGACTGAACCTGCCACCTCGTAGGTGAACCTGCCACTTCGTGACTGAACCTACCACCTCGTGACTGAACCTGCCACTTCGTGACTGAACCTGCCACCTCGTGACTGAACCTGCCACTTCGGAGTTGAACCTGCCACTTCGTGACTGAACCTGCCACTTCGTGACTGAACCTGCCACTTCGCGACTGAACCTGCCACTTCGTGACTGAACCTGCCACCTCGTGACTGAACCTGCCACTTCGTAGTTGAACCTGCCACCTCGTGACTGAACCTGCTACTTCGTGACTGAACCTGCCACCACGTGACTGAACCTGCCACCTCGTGACTGAACCTGCCACCTCGTGACTGAACCTGCCACCTCGTGACTGAACCTGCCACTTCGTGACTGAACCTGCCACCTCGTGACTGAACCTGCCACCTCGTGACTGAACCTGCCACCTCGTGACTGAACCTGCCACTTCGTGACTGAACCTGCCACCTCGCGATTGAACCTGCCACCTCGTGACTGAACCTGCCACTTCGTGACTGAACCTGCCACTTCGTGACTGAACCTGCCACTTCGTGGTTGAACCTGCCACCTCGCGACTGAACCTGCCACCTCGTGACTGAACCTGCCACTTGGTGACTGAACCTGCCACTTCGTGACTGAACCTGCCACTTCGTGACTGAACCTGCCAATTCGTGCTTGAACCTGCCACCTCGCGACTGAACCTGCCACCTCGTGACTGAACCTGCCACTTGGTGACTGAACCTGCCACTTCGTGACTGAACCTGCCACTTCGTGACTGAACCTGCCAATTCGTGCTTGAACCTGCCACCTCGTGACTGAACCTGCCACTTCGCGACTGAACCTGCCACTTCGTAGTTGAACCTGCCACCTCGTGACTGAACCTGCCACTTCGCGACTGAACCTGCCACTTTGTAGTTGAACCTGCCACCTCGTGACTGAACCTGCCACTTCGTGACTGAGCCTGCCACTTCGCGATTGAACCTGCCACTTCGTGACTGAACCTGCCACCTCGTGACTGAACCTGCCACCTCGTGACTGAACCTGCCACCTCGTGACTGAACCTGCCACTTCGTGACTGAACCTGCCACCTCGTGACTGAACCTGCCACCTCGTGACTGAACCTGCCACCTCGTGACTGAACCTGCCACTTCGTGACTGAACCTGCCACCTCGCGATTGAACCTGCCACCTCGTGACTGAACCTGCCACTTCGTGACTGAACCTGCCACTTCGTGACTGAACCTGCCACTTCGTGGTTGAACCTGCCACCTCGCGACTGAACCTGCCACCTCGTGACTGAACCTGCCACTTGGTGACTGAACCTGCCACTTCGTGACTGAACCTGCCACTTCGTGACTGAACCTGCCAATTCGTGCTTGAACCTGCCACCTCGCGACTGAACCTGCCACCTCGTGACTGAACCTGCCACTTGGTGACTGAACCTGCCACTTCGTGACTGAACCTGCCACTTCGTGACTGAACCTGCCAATTCGTGCTTGAACCTGCCACCTCGTGACTGAACCTGCCACTTCGCGACTGAACCTGCCACTTCGTAGTTGAACCTGCCACCTCGTGACTGAACCTGCCATTTCGCGACTGAACCTGCCACTTCGTGACTGAACCTGCCACTTCGCGACTGAACCTGCCACTTTGTAGTTGAACCTGCCACCTCGTGACTGAACCTGCCACTTCGTGACTGAGCCTGCCACTTCGCGATTGAACCTGCCACTTCGTGACTGAACCTGCCACCTCGTAGTTGAACCTGCCACTTCGTGGCCCAAGGCCATGAAAGGGGCTTCAAACTTCAAAGGGACTCTGCTGCCTCGTATCTCAAACGTCGTTACTTTGGGAGGCGATAATCCACAACCTGGCCGCACCAGTACAGTACATTACGTAACAACAATAACATAAGAATCGGTTTTACCCTTTCTAACAATAATACTCGTGTTAAGATGTTCTAATAGGGGCCGTCCATAAATGACGTCACGCGATTTTGGACGATTTTTTACCCCCCCCCCCTCGTCACACGGCGTCACAAAAAGTCAGACCCTCTTCAAAATAACGTCACAAAGCTCTGCCCCCCCCCCCAAACCATATTTCCATTTTGAAAATAAAACATGCTTCAAATCGCTTTAAACTATTGTCATTGTAGTGCGTATTTAATGTGGCGCTGCACTCTGATGTTGTAGGAAAAAACATGTATTAAAAATGAGGCGTTGGAAAGCTTACATTTAGCATAAAATCCACTTGAAAATATTCAACGTCTAACTAAAACTGCAGATGTTCAGAATAATATATAGTGGTAGCAGTTACATTGGAGAAACCAAACGACATGTCTCGGACCGCATCCGTGAACATAAAGCAGACCTGAAATACGGTGGGACAAACACCTCAGCCGTGGCAGATCACTGTTACAATTCAGTGGGCTCACATGACATTGACTTCTCCAAGACAGAGGTTCTCTGCAAGCCATCTGGCTACCATGAGAGATTCGTTCATGAGGCGATCCACATATACAAACACAGAGACAATTTCAACCGAGAAGATGGATTCTGGCTCAGCAATCATTGGAAGGACGTAATAAACCATTTCGGATCTTAACTGATTGTGTTCACGTTTACGGTGACTTTCAGACCGCAGTCCACTCACTGGCATTGACTATATATCTTGTATTCTCCGCAGGGAATGGATTATTTGCTCCGCTGCAAGTCTCCTACTACCACTCTCCCATTGACATATTTCGTTGCTTCCTCTTAGTATCTTTCACGCGACGGTTAATGGTATAGTGTATAGCAGATTGTATAATAATAAATAGTAAAAAATTGTAATGTTTAATACAATGTATAAGGTAATATATAGTATCGTAATTGTATATTGAATATACAGCAGTGTGATATACAGTAGGGTGGATAGAATAATACATAGTGTAATGTTACACTATGTATTATTCTAAGGTATAGGGTGGTGTATAGTAATACAGTATATAATTTAATGTTGGGTTTGTCTATGGCAGTATATAGTACGGGGTAGACCCGTGTGATGTAAAGAAAAAAAGTTTAGCTGGAAGCATATTATATTTTTTGCGCCATAGAATTGTAATGTATTACTTACTGTTAGTAGCTCAGCTTATTGGAGAGTATATTTAGTATACTGATGATACTATGTAGTTTATCCTTTAGTTTTTTACGTGGTGGTTTAGTTACTGCAGCTACATACTATTAACATTCCTTCCCTTTATTAATGCTTACCCTATCCTCTCCCTTTGATGCTGCTAATCCTGCATAATGCACGGGCATAATATGAGTTTGAAACCCCCCGCCCACCTCCTACGCATTTCATAAGTAGTACTAATCACATATCTGCATTTCCCATAAATATGCTAAATTCCTCTTGATATGCAAATTATTTTGTCAAGGCGCTCTTCCCCTTCCAACCCAGCTTAAATATATGCTCCAAGCGTGGTGGTGTTTCATTCAGACGTTGTCTCCCCGACAGACTTGGTCTTCACCTGAGGACGGCTGCTTGCGTTGTGGCCGAAACGTCGTGAGAATTATTTAATTATGTTTAATTTTTATTATTTTATTATCTCCCTTCTACGTGACTTTACCGAAAGAACCAAGAAGATGAATCCCTGCAGTCACGAAAGCTTTAAATCGAAATTTAAATTTAAATAATCAAATAGTTAATAATGAAAATTAATCAAAATTAGTGTTGTTATAACAATTCGATATTAATTTAAAGTTGCACATTTTTATGTGACGTCACATTTTTCAACCCCCCCCCCTCGTTACACATCGTCACAAATGTCTGACCCCCCCCCCCCCTAGGTGCGTGACGTCATTTATGGACGGCCCCTTGGTTGTTTCGACAGCTATTCTCAACCTCACCTTATCACCTGTTCAAGGTCCAATAAACCACGGTAAAAGTGGCACAGTAATGTTTCGGTTACTGTTGCATCGAACCATGGACCTATAAAGATAACCAAATTCCAGGGCAAGGATCAGGGCCAAGAGAAAATAAATAATTGGTGTTTGCAAAGAACAACACGGGAGAGTGTGCAAGGATTTTCACGGTTACAGTGCAATCTATTTACACAAGTCACATGAACAATATGAATGTGAAGGGCAGTAGAAATAACTGTCAGGTTAGAACACGATCAACGCAGTCCTAACAACTACTGATGCAAGTCCAGACTCCAGAGCTCAGTCAAGGGAGCAAGGGATGTCAGCCTACGTGAAATGAGGCAGAAGGACACACTGCTACATTTTGTACTACCCAGCGGGCGTTGATCAAAGGCAACAACAACAACGGTAGCAATGACAAAAGCAACAACAGCAATACGAAGAGCAGCAAAAATAACAGCAATTGCAACAACAGCAGCAAAACGAATAACGACAGAAGAAACAACAACAGCGACAACAACAACAACACTTTGCGATGGTGACGCTGCGACTGCTGCCAGGCTGCTTGCGGCCCGGCCCTGCTCTGAGCGAGTCCAGTGGTCTGGTCAAACAATACCTCCCCTGTTCCCTGGAGAATGGGGGGCCATACCGAGAACTTATTGTCGCTTGGAATCAACTCGGCCCAGCATCATCAGTTGACTTTCCGGTTCAAGCTACTTGAATTCCACACCCACTTTGCTACGATCTGCTGTGGAAATACTGACCCCTCCCCGACCGTGTTCGTCACTTCTTGCAGTGCCTCGCACCTGG